GATTTAAAATTAATTTCTAAAACTTATTTTCAATAATATAAGTTATGTATTTTTCTCAACAGCTATTTGTATACATGCACCCTGTCCCTCTAATGCAGAAAATTTTCTTTACTGTTTCTGCAATATAAATCCTTAAGTCTGTTTTGAAGATAACCCTGATATAATCAGCAAGAAAAATAATTATTTCTAATCTGACAAAGCTTTAAACACTAAAAACTCTGGTTAATTTTAGAAGTACCGTACCGACTTTTAGGCAGCTAGAGTATGTAGTGCAGTATATTTACAGTACCGTACCGACTTTTAGGCAGCTAGAGCATGAAGTGCAGTATATTTAGTACCGTACCGACTTTTATGCATCTAGAGCATGTAGTGCAGTATATTTAGTAGCGTACCGACTTTTAGGCAGCTAGAGCATGTAGTGCAGTATATTTACAGTACCGTACCGACTTTTAGGCAGCTATAGCATGTAGTACAGTATATTTACAGTACCGTACCGACTTTTAGGCAGCTAGAGCATGTAGTGCAGTATATTTACAGTACCGTACCGACTTTTAGGCAGCTAGAGCATGTAGTACAGTATATTCACAGTACCGTACCGACGTTTAGGCAGCTAGAGCATGTAGTACAGTCTATTTACAGTACCGTACCGACTTTTAGGCAACTAGAGCACGTAGTGCAGTATATTTAGTACCGTACCGACTTTTAGGCATCTAGAGCATGTAGTACAGTATATTCACAGTACCGTACCGACGTTTAGGCAGCTAGAGCATGTAGTACAGTCTATTTACAGTACCGTACCGACAAAAACACGACAGTACACCATATAAATCATCTACTTATTGAGAGATTAATGTGTAAAGTGTGTCTTTGTTTTCCCCTTTATAAATGGAGGATCACATGGAGTTACGTAAAATACCCCCCCCCCCCTTATCCAGGAAAAGGACTAGGATCCTGGCCAGGGGCAAAACACGCGTAGGAATTTCAGTTTTGAAAAATGTGGAATTTTATCCTAAATATCAGTTTCGCGTTCTAGGCTTTATTCTAGCAAACCCTGAGATGAATAGACAATTAAATTAGCAATTTTACTCTCAACTCCATCAGCCTTAAAATCAACATTCCTTCTTTCTATGCTAATATATATATTTCAAATATTTTCCTACATCGAATATTTCAAATTTTTCCATTTTGGTTTAAAACAAAAATGTTTTGAAAAACATGTGAACTTAATTATAGAAATCAAAACTGTAACGAAAGTTAAATGACGGAAATAGAAACAGACATTTTTTGGAAGGAGTTTTTTCTAGCTACAATTTTTATACAAGACAATGCCCTGTAATAACAAAAGGAAGTCGCCTTAATCCTACCTATTTATATTTTTCCGATCTCACATCGTATCCTAGACCTTTGATATTTAAAACTTTAAATTCTGTTAATCAAATAGTCCAAGTGTTAAACAAAAGTTAAAGTGGTTACAATATTAGAGTTTGAGAAGAATAAGATCAATCGATTTCTTTATCCCTAGATTTAAAAGTTAGGAGAAAGGAATGCGAAAGCGCTTTTTAACGTTTTCAAACGGCTCGTTTACTATTTTATTTTGAAGAATAGAAATTCTGATTATATATTAATATAATTTTTGTTTAAGATTCCAAGCTTTTTTCTTTGTTTTCTTCCTCCCGCCTGTCTTGAAACTGAAAACATCTAAAATGAAGGTGAGGGTTGGGAACTGGTTTTCTGGGTCCTTTTAAATCTGATATTCTCCCAAATGGTTTAGATAAGGAACCTAAATATTTAATGAAAAATCGTCACAATTTCCAGTTGACAGGTTCCTTCTAAACTTGATCTCTATATCCACAGGAAACCAACTGTTTAATTTTCGAATTTAAACTTTTTCGAGGTTTCGAGATTTATTTTGGGATTTCTTTGAAAATCTATTTTTGAAAATCGGAGTATGGGGTGTCTGGATTTGTGTTAATTTCATGAAAGAAAAAGAAATTATTATGTCAACAAGGAAAGTAATCACCAAAAACGTGATTAAAACAATTTATTAACAAAACGATATAATGCAGTTATTGAAAAAGGTAACAAAGAGAATTTTCAACAAAACTTTGAAACATGAGACCGTAAATTTAAGAAATATTACAAGTTTTGATGAAAGATATTATTATCATCAATCCAGAAAGACTAAAAAGAAAAAAAATCAATAGAAAAAATTCAATATTATCAATGTTTTTAAGCTCAAGAAAGCACGCGTTACCAAGACTGAACTAAATAGGACTCATATAAATTTACATTTTGACAGGGATGTTTATGTGGATTTTAGTTGTTTTTTGACAATGGTCTTTTCGTAATTCTGACCGACCTGAAAACTAAATCTTGCTGGAAAAAAGCAATATTCACAACGTGCTTTTTCTTTCTTAATTACTGTTTAGTAATGCCATCTCCACCAGGAGCTAAGGAGGGCATTCGACCCATCTCTTCTTAGTTGTACACTTTAGAAACCTTAAAAAATGTACTTTGATGCTATCAAAATAAAAAAGTTTTTAAAATAGAGCACAGAGTAAAAAAAAAAACGTGTCACCAGAAAGAGAATCAAGAAGCGTTTAGAATGTATGTTTTATATTTCTTCGGTTGAATTTAATTTCAAAAGTGCATCCAATCTTTATCTGACACAGTGCCACTCCTTTAGTGAACCATAAAAGATATAAAATGCTTGTAGGATGCAAAAAGTACTAATTTAAGATAATTTCATTCAAATTGTAAACATCTTGGCAGCTTATATTAAAACGAACATATACAAACAATAAAAGTAGAAATAAGTTAGCAGTTCCTTTTCGCTTTAGGTTTTTCTTCATTTTTTAGTGTCATAAATTAATAATAGCTTTTTTATGGTAGCATAAATTATATACGGAGAGGTTGAATATCAAACTACAAATAAAAGAAGAATTATAACTAATATAATATTAAAGGGACTGTAAGCGTAATTTAAAGTGACCCTCAATGCAAGGAGGGCAATACCGGATTCACAGCAATACTCTTTAAGCCTTTTATGCTTCATTGAGTAGAAAGATCTCTCTGTTAAAACATGTCAGAGCCCACTTATATTCCTCTAAAACGCGACTGTTCCCTTTTTACAGTCTTAACTCAAACAGCTGATCTGTTACTTGCATAACTCGAAAGTAGCTCAACTGTTTTCCGTTAACAGCGTCTTTAAACGTTCAACGGATTTTTTTTATTTTCTGCCACTTTTAGAAAGTAACTATTGGTATTTCATAAATACATATAACATATAACATATAACGTTTCAGTAGATTAATAGAGATATGTCAGACATCCTTGCTCAGTCAAAGGTTAAAAGAGTACCAGTGTGAATCGGGGATTCTTTTTTTAAATGAAAGGCTACTTTAAATTACGCTTATAGTCCCTTTGATGACATGAGTTGTCAATTTTTTCCCCGCTGTTAAATACTGTTTTTATAGCGGTTATGGACTAAATAATTTTCGATATCGACAAATAAAGACTGAGCAACTTGTGAATTGTTATACTTGTCCATAAATGGTCAATGAAATGGCCCATTTACGGTCTTTTTCTGTATGATTTATAGTTTATAGAAGGCATGGAAATCAGCAATCGGGAATTTAGTTAGAGTAAGATTAATGACATATATATATCTTTTTTACAGATAAGTTTGTTAAATGTTATTTCAATTCAAACGCCAAAGTAATAAAACAAGATTTATTCATAAAATATAAAGATATAAAACTTTATTTGACATTTTTTAGTTAAAAAATTATTCATCAGATTTGCAGTTTGGCTCGGTCTCTTTAAGGTATTGAATTTATTAGGAATAGTTCTAGTATACACCATATCTTTTCTTAAAAAAGACTTTAATTCAATTTTTAGTAAAACATCGAAACTTTTTTAACTTAAAGGCGTAATAAAAAGTTTTGCACAAATAAATTCTATAAAATGTGAAAATGTGCGGAATTTTGCGGTAATATAGTTCATCACTCAATTACTGTTTTTTATTATTATTCTTTTTTTTGTACTATCTTTAGGACGTCTATGCTTGTATGTAGATATCTTTGAAGAATGTAATACAGTGTAAAAATATATGTTAATTTAAAAGAAGTCAACTTGCAAAAACTAAAATTAAACTAAAATTCGTCTCTTTGCTCTCAAGGCTGGGCCAGGGTTACTTCATACAATATTTATTATTAGGACAAGATATAGAGATGGGTGTCCCACTAATCATGTATTATTAGGACAAGATATAGAGATGGGTGTTCCACTAATCACCTACTTTTTAGGACAAGATATAGAGATGGGTGTCCCACTTATCATTTATTATTAGGACAAGGTATAGAGATGGGTGTCCCACTAATCATTTATTATTAGGACAAGAAATAGATATTGGTGCCCCACTAATCATGTATTATTAGGACAAGATATAGAGATGGGTGTCCCAGTATACATACATTATTAGAACAAGATATAGAGATGGGTGTCCCTGTATACATACATTATTAGGACAAGATATAGAGATGGGTGCCCCACTAATTATGTATTATTAGGACAAGAAAAAGAGAAGGGTGTCCCACTAATCATGTATTATTAGGACAAGATATAGATATGGGTGACCCACTAATCATGTATTATTAGGACAAGGTATAGAGATGGGTGACCCACTATTCATGTATTATTAGGACAAGAAATAGATATGGGTGTCCCACTAATCATGTATTATTAGGAAAAGGTATAGAGATGGGTGTCCCACTAATCATGTATTATTAGGACAAGATATAGAGATGGGTGTCCCACTAATCATGTATTATTAGGACAAGATATAGAGATGGGTGTTCCACTAATGATGGTAAACTGTACACGTGCAATTAGTGGAAAACTTGCAAGTCGTGGAACTTTTTAAACACATATTGTCATTGGATAGATCTTCTGTTGTCTCTGGATTGTAATGTTTTGTGGAACACCCTTTAATATTCTTATTTCAGCCCGAACGGGACTTCGGATGAAAGTGAGATTAGTGTCTTTGTGAACAGGTGACAGAAAGTAAAATGTATATTTTTTATCATGACAATTGACAATTTATATGAATTTATATGAATCGATCACACCAATAGTAAATGAGTCAAACATAGTATAATTCAAGAATGCAATGCAAGGAAAGTTAATTGCAGTTGCGTATACTCTGCGTACATATTGAAACCAGTTCTCTTTGGGCGGAATTTGTAAACAAAAAAAGATGCATCAGTGTTCGTTTAGCATCCGAGGAGGTTAAAAGCATTGAATTTTGATAATTTTGATAATTCACATAATAGTTTCCTATGACAAGAATATTTGATTGATTATTTATGTGAAAGATGGATCCCATGTCAGGCTTCGACATCCGTCTTGTGTTTACATTACCGCCCAGTGACAGTACACTGCAGTACAAAAGATGCGTACACCTCTGAAATAACTTTTCTTGCATTACATCCTTGGCATAATTATAGTATTAAAAAACAAGAGAAAATAAATACTGTTTATATGTTTTAATCCCACAAGAAGAAAATGAATAATTTCTATATTTTTGATCATACACCAACAGCAAATGAGTAATGTTTATATTTTTAATCGCACCAATCAAAAAGATAAATAATGTAATTTTTTTACACAAATAAAAAATTGATAATTTTAAAATTTTTTATGACACAAACAGAAAACCATTAATTTTTAATATTTTGATCGCAGCAAGAAGAAATTTTAATTGTTTATTATCAATCCAACAAGACGAAAAAAATAAAATTGTTGATCTTATTAATCCCACCTGTTCATTTGAATTACTAGCCGCAGCGCTCGGCCCAAAAATAGTCTTAACCTAACCTAACCATGAAATAATACATGAAATATGTTTTTTTCTTCATTTTTACCCTTTGTCGCGTTTTTGACCGTTTGTCGTTTGACCCTATGTCGTTTGACCCTAGGTCGTTTGTTTGTCCCTGGGTTGTTTGACGGTTTGACCCTATTCGGTGAACCGACAAAATTAATATTGTTTATATTATTAATCCCGTCAGACAAAAATTAATGATAATTATTACTTTCATCATATCAACAAGAAATTTAGTATATAGTTTTTTCTTCATACAATTAAACAATAAATGAGAAATTTTCAATTGGTTTTATCACACAAACCACGAATATTAATAAAAAATTGATTTTAGAGCAACAGAAAATGAATCTAGCTATGTTTCTGTACTTTCTCCTTTATACAACAGCGTACTGTAGTGTAGGTAGGATTATATTATTGAACTTGAGCATCTAAATATTATTTTAATGATATGACATTTGGTAGCCTTAAGATTTTCTATGAACGTATAAAAAATTACTTGTATGTGTCTTTGTTTATAAAAGCACTTTTCTAATAAACAAAAGATCTATCCTTGGCATAAACTTTATAAATTTATGAAAATAAGTTAGCAATAGGATGAATAATTTCAAAAAAAAAACGTTGAAATTTTTTTCAAAGGTTTCAAAAAGGGATTTGAATATTTCATTTTAATTGAAGGTTTTCATTTCCTTTTATTAATGAATTCTCTTGTTAATAAAACATTTATGATTTTAGAAAATTCTAACATTTTTTTCCAGGATTTGCGCAGAGTGTGAGACGACAAGATAGTTGTAAGTTTTTATATCTTTTCTTTTTTAAACGATGGAATTAATTTTACTCAATGGAATAAGTCGATCCGACACGTCATGGTTTTACTTTACCTTACAAAAATCTTTTTCTTTTTAATCACAGAGTATTAACTGTATACTTTGAACAGAAGTACTTGCACGTTAGGAGATTTTTTATTATTTTTGGTATTTTTCACAAATATATTTTATTATACCATCGTTTTTACTTTTACTTTATTCAAGAAATATTTATACTATAGAATTGTCAAAAAAAAAACTAGTACATAAAACACTGTGTACGTACACTGTACATTTACAAATGAAAAGATTTTGATACTGAAATCCTGATATCTTTGTACCCTTCCTCAGACCTTTCCATGCTTAGAGCTAAGAATTCTGCTTGATGACAAGTAAAGTTTGAAGTACAAAATGTTTACACCATTAGGTTGCAAAGATATAGGCAATAACAAATTTGAGTATTAGCCGAAACGATTACTAAAGTACGTTACATAATAGACTGTGGTGTTCCTAACAATTCAACCAATTCTCTTGGTCGCAGCAACTTAAAAGAAAATCCCTGGGACGTTATACTGCTTCGAATCCTGACCACACGATGGAAACCTTTCTGCTACGGAGTTCTGGTTAGCGCTAAACACGTGATCACCCAATCCTTGTGTACAACAGGACTATCTCCAAACCAGCTGCAGATATTTGCAGGACGGCTCCGGGATGAAGAAAACGGAGAAGTTTGGGAGACAGTTCGGGATATTCTCATCCCTCCTCTTCTCATTCCTGTAAATATCAGAGTTCTGGTTCTAGACGCTAAACTGGATTTATATTCGTTTCCGAACATCAAACCCGTCTGCTTACCCTGGGTCTCACATTCATTTTCATTCATTGGAGATAAAGGCAAGAATATTAAACATAAATGAATTAATTATTTTTAAATCGAAAATGGCGAACAAACTTTTATTTTAAATAAATTGAAAATTGGCTCAGTTTCCTTCATCCTTGATAGTTTGATTTAAGTCGGTAACATTAATCCATTATTTTCCCACACAAAAGGTTTAATCTCAATTTAATATTTTTGAAATCTAGGATATGTATCAACTGCTGATATCAGATATGATGTAAGTATCAGAGAAAACAATATGTGCTCTCTTTGGGGAAGAAAATCCTTGAATAGGATCTGTGCTAAAGGAGAATCTCGGCATAGATGTGGTTGGGTCCCTGGAACCCCTCTCATGGTTTATGATCCTAGTAACCATGGAGCTGTGACTCTCCTCGGAATATCGGAATGTAGTTCATCTTCTTGTTGCGCGGAAGAATTATATTCCGTATTCGCGGATGTTACTCAAGTCATTTTTTGGCTGAAACAAGTTATAAGTACAGAAGATACATTGCCACCTAAACCTTTTAAAGTTTTAGAACCAACATTCACAACAACAAAAGCTACGACTACAACTACAACTACAACTACAAAAGAAACTACAAGCACTAGGATCATCTTAACAACAACTGCAGCAACAGCTTTATCTACAACAGCAGGCCCAGGACAGAATTTAACAACCCCTGAATGTGTCAGTTCAGATATTCTTGTCGAATCCTTAAACACTGTGATTAAACGACTTAGCAGCACTATTGTATATCTTAATTCGCAGCTAGACTAAATTGATCAAATCATTAATTCACAATTCAAATAAATATATCAAATCTTAAATCACAGTTAAATTAAATATATCATATCTTAATTCACAGCCAGATTAACAATGTCCTGTCTTAAGTCATTACTTGATTAACTATAACCTTTTTTTATTTAATTCACAATTAGACTTAATATCAAATAATATCATATATGAATTTGCAGCTACAGATTTAATATATCCTATCTTAATTCCCAGTTCGATTAAATATATTTTATCATATCTTAATTTGCAGCTAGACTTAATTCAACGATTAAAAATATAAAATCTTAATTTTATCACAGTCAGATTAAATATATCTTAATAAATTAGCCTTTTTCATACATGTGCTTAAAATCATAACTAGAGGAGCTACGAGGTCACAAAATCATACCAGTGAAGTTTTTTTTACCTTCTCCATCTGCCTAGTTTCTGTAGTATCATATCATATTTAAAGAATATTTGATTTAAATATGAAGTATTCAGTTAAATAGAACTTTATGATGGAACTTTGGGAAATAAAAACTTTTTTTGCCGACAGAAGATCTTGAAATATCAAATTCTCACCATCATGCAATATATAACTTGATTCTATGGAGTGTACATTTGTATATTAAGTTTTAAAAAAAAACTTGTTAATAATATTTTACTTTTTCATTTCAGCTAAATGTTCACATAGCTGTAAAATGTTAAATAGCGTGACTACTGCACTAAGCTGCATATTATGATTTATAATATATATAATAGTTGGAATTGTATGTATTCTACTTTAAATCTTTATAAAACTTTGCAATATTTTTGATCGTTTTTGCTTCGTTTTGCGATGATTTCTCAAGTTCAAAATTTGGCATGGTGAGTGTAAGGAAAGGAAATGTTGAAAATTAACAATTTTGATTAAAAATTCTCAACTTTTCATTGATCTGTTACTCCAACCCATTCTACCCCCCCCCCCCTAAATTTTTCATCCCCTGATTTTTCCCCTGCTCCTTCTCATCCTACTCCTCCTTCTACTCCTTTTCCTCCTCCTTCTACTCCTTTTACTCCTCCTCCTCCTACTTCTCCTCAATCTCCATCTCCATCTCCTCCACCTCCACCTCCACATCCTCCTCAATCTCCCTACTCTCTTTGCTACGCTATTAGTGGATTCCTATCCTCCCTTCAACCACCCATCTTGGGTTGTTATAATTACATATGATTATCCTGTATATACTGGGAATAGGGCGGGGTGGACAGTACTCTGCTAAAGGCAGTTAGTTCTAAATTCTAGTAAACTGTTCCCATGACAGAGGTAATGTTCATCAACAAGTGAACAACAGACCAGTCGTAGGATTTTTTAGATTTGTTATTTTAGAAAAAAGATAAGTTAAAAATGTCAAATATTCAACCAACAAACTTTGTTGAAGCACCGAAATCAAATTCAACTTAGTAAATCGATTTTTCAAATGTCAATGAATGTTAAACTGGGTCTCCAACCAACTTTGTAACCCTAAAAACCATTAAATGTAGTTTAAAGTTAATTTAGATCACATAAAACATAAATAAAACATACCTTCATCTTAACCATTTAAAACATTTCAACAATCAACTATAAAGAACTAAAAATATGTAAACTAAGCGGAATCCAAAGAAAAGCAATATCTCACAAAAGAACTTGTTTCTTTACAATTCTTCCCTTCTCTGCTGAATATTCCAAAAACGTTAGAATGTGAAAATTGTAAATTAAGGAATTTCATTAGCTGCTGAATCGTAAATTCTAATTCTGAAAATTTAAGTTGAAGAAATTATTGGATCCGCCCTAACATCTTCCAGGTCATCCAGGCTTCTGCAACACTGTAGGAAACTTAATTATGCGCTATACGCACATACAAATTCCTTAAACGCCACATACCTTCCTATTCCCATCTATTCTTTAGTTACCTCTCTTTCCTTCCTATTCCCATCTTATCTTTAGTTAACCCTCTCCCCTTCCTATTCCCATATATTCTTTAGTTACCTCTCTTTCCTTCCTATTCCCATCTTATCTTTAGTTACCCCTTTCCCCTTCCCTTTCCTATCATATCTTTAGTTTCCCCTCTCCCCTTCCTATTCCTATCTTATCTTTAGTTACCCTTCTCCCCTTCCTATTCCCATCTTATCTTTAGTTACCCCTCTCCCCTTCCTATTCCCATCTTTTCTTTTATTACCCTGCTCTCTTCTAATTTCCATCTTTTCTTGTATTACACTGATTCCTTCTATACATCCCATATTTTCTTTTATTATCCTGCTCCCTTTTACATCCCATCTTTTCTTTTATTAACCTTCTTCCTTTTACTTCCGATTTTTTTGTATTAACCTGTGTCCTATTTCTTCCCATCTTTCCTTTTATTAACCTGCTCTCTTCTACTTCCCATCATTTCTTTTATCAACCTCCTCTCTTCTACTTCCAGACTTTTCTGTTATTACCCAGTTTCACTTTCTTTCTCTTCTTGTATTGACCTGATTTCTTCCATTTTCCTTCTCTTCTTTTACCCTGCTCCAATTTACTTAATATCTTTCCTTGTATACTACCTACAAAATACTCTGTTTACCTGGATGTATACTACCTACAAAATACTCTGTATACCTGGATGTATACTACCTACAAAATACTCTGTATCCCTGGATGTATACTACCTACAAAATACTCTGTATCCCTGGATGTATACTACCTACAAAATACTCTGTATCCCTGGATGTATACTATCTACAAAATACTCTGTATCCCTGGATGTAAACTACAATCTACTATTAGACACTAGACACTCTGAATCTATAGATATACACTGTTATCTACTGCATGTCTACTAGACACCCTGTATCCCTGGATGTATTCTACTATCTATTATCTACTAGACACCCTGTATGTCCCTGGATGTATACTACTATCCACAATCTACTAGATACCCTGTATCCCTGGATGTATACTGCTATCTACTAGATACCCTGTATCCCTGGATGTATACTGCTATCTACTAGACACCCTGTATCCCTGGATGTATTCTACTATCTATTATCTACTAGACACCTTGTATGTCCCTGGATGTATACTACTATCCACTATCTACTAGATACCCTGTATCCCTGGATGTATACCCTGTATCCCTGGATGTATACTGCTATCTACTAGATACCCTGTATCCCTGGATGTATACTGCTATCTACTAGATACCCTGTATCCCTGGATATATACTGCTAACTACTAGATGCCATGTATCCCTGGATGTATAATGCTATCTACTAGATACTAGACACCCTGTAATGTAAAGATGGCGTATAACAAATGAGTGGCATTGTTGAAAATTTAATCTCTGCCCTGTATTGAAGAGAGGTCGGGGGGGGGTGCTCCTCCCATAGCAAAAAGTTCCTTCATTAATCTTATTAATAAGAATCCGCCCTTTTGATATACTAATGATTGCGGCTTAATTCATCTTTATCAGGTATTTGCTGCAAGTACTTTTAATATTTTTTATCTTTTTTCCTCATTTGGATAGAAAAGTTTCCTTACAAATAATATATATCATTTGATCGTGGTCATTCAGGAAGTATTTAATATTTCCGAAATGTTTTCATATGCATCCTTTTTTTGCATTTGCATTTTCAAGCAAAGACCTTTCTTCACAAAATTCAGCATGGCTTTTTTACTATGTAGAATGCGCAGTTTTTTAAGGTAAAATCTCATTTGTTCAACTTATTTACAATTTTTGGAATATTAAATAAACATCCTTAAAAACACACATCAAATAGTTATATATATTGTCTCGAGGCTAGGCACACCGTAATTTTATTCAATTAAACAAATATTTAAACATTTATATTGATCGAGATCAATCTTTACGAGATCTTTTATTACTCCAGGGTTGTTTAAGGGACTGTTCAGGGGAAACAATATGATACAATTCCAACAAAAAATTTTTTCACGATTTCCCATTTAATAATGTAGATAACGTCTGAAAATGCGGCGACAGCGCCTCAAAAAGGTTGATTTTAGCCCCATCTTAGAGCGTTCAATACAACCCTCCTGAGAAATGTATCCCTGAAAATCTGCGAGAATTTTGCCTGAGGTTTGTCTAGAGATATCCTGTAATTTGTTTTGACCCCCGTCCACCCCTAGTCCAACCCCTTATACAACAATATCTCACAGATACAAGGTTCTCCTACAAATACGAGCCTTTAGTAACATGAGAACTAGAACTAGTCCATAGACAGTACACTTGAGAACTAAGAACTATTCCATAAACAGCTAGGAACTAGAGTTAAGAACTAGAACTAAAACTAGTCCATAGACAGTACACTTGAGAACTAAGAACTATTTCTTAAACAGCTAAGAACTAGAGCTAAGAACTTGAACTAAAAACTAGTCCATAGACAGTACACTTGAGAACTAATAACTATTCCATAAACAGCTAAGAACTAGAGCTAAGAACTTGAACTAAAAACTAGTCCATAGACAGTTCACTTGAGAACTAAGAACTATTCCATAAACAGCTAAGAACTAGAGCTAAGAACTTGAACTAAAAACGAGTCCATAGACAGTACACTTGAGAACTAAGAACTATTTCATAAACAGCTGAGAACTAGAACAAAAAACTAGTCCATAGACAGTACACTTGAGAACTAAAAACTATTCCATAAACAGCTAAGAACTAGAGCTATGAACTTGAACTAAAAACGAGTCCATAGACAGTACACTTGAGAACTAAGAACTATTTCATAAACAGCTAAGTACTAGAACTAAAAACTAGTCCATATACAACTAAGAACTAAAACTAGAACTACTCCATATATAGTTAAGAATTAGAACTAGTCCATATACAATATGCAACTGAGAACTAGAACTAAGAAGTAGTCCATACAGCTGATGAACTAGAGCTAAGAACTAGCTCATATACAGCTGAGAACTAGAACTAAGAACTAGTCCATATACAGCTAGAAACTAGAACTAAAAACAAGCCCAAATGAGAAATAAAAACTATCCCCATAATTAGTCCATACAGGTAAACACTAGTCAATAAAGAGAGAACTAGTCAATACAGATGAGAACTAGTCCAAACAGCTTAAAATTAGTCCAAACAGATGAGAATTAGTCAAACAGCTAAAAACTAGTCCATCAGCTGCTGAGAATTAGTCTGTACAGCTGAGAGCTAGTCCATATCACTCCATACAGCGGAGAACTAGTCCATACAGTTTAGAGCTAGTTCATACAGCTGATAGCTATTCAATATTAAGAAAAGTTGTGATTGAAAATATACAAGATCTTAATCTTTACGCGCAAATAACTTTAGTTTGACCTGCAAAGTACATTGTACTCGATGTTGAGTAAATATTTTAGATATGGTCCTGGAAACATTAATGATTAATCCAGTAAATATTTTAGGTATGTTCCTGGAAACATTGATGATTAATCCAGTAAATATTTTAGATATGGTCCTGGAAACATTGATGATTAATCCAGTAAATATTTTAGGTATGTTCCTGGAAACATTGATGATTAATCCAGTAAATATTTTAGATATGGTCCTGGAAACATTGATGATTAATCCAGTAAATATTTTAGATATGGTCCTGGAAACATTGATGATTAATCCAGTAAATATTTCAGATATGGTCCTGGAAACATTGATGATTAATCCAATAAATATTTCAGATATGGTCCTGGAAACATTGATGATTAATCCAGTAAATATTTTAGATATGGTCCTGGAAACATTGATGAATAATCCAGTAAAGATATTTCAATGACTGCATCGAAGAGAAGTAAAATTAATTCTAGTTTTAGATTTCTAAATTTGAAAAATAATTTATCTTTGCTTTCCGCATTAACAAAAGCAATGGAACAGAAAGGGTAAATCTAAATCACTTAGTTATCAGATTAATGTTCGTTTTAATTAAAATATTATCTGACTAATCCTTAATTTTGAATCCATTAATTACCTTCACCTCGATCTATTTGTCTAGAGGTCTAAAAACTATGAAGTTATCTATGTATCAGGGATATCTATTATCTATAGTCAAAGCACCAAATAAACCGAATTCTCTAACTGCATAAAATCAGAAAATTAGAATGAAAACTGATTAGATTAAACTTTAGTTAATTGATTCCTTCGATCAAAGGAAAATTGTTCCTTTCTATTAGGGACTGTCGACTTCAAGTAATCCTCAAGATAAAGTGTTCCATGTTTGATTAACAAGGGTACTCACAACCGTACTCTCTGTACTCCTTGTATATGTACTCCCTGTACTCCTGGTATATGTACTCCCTGTACTCCTGGTATATGTATTCCTGTACTCCTGGTATATGGGCTTCCTGTTTTACTGGTATATGTACTCCCTGTACATGTACTCCCTGTATATGTACTCCTGGTATATGTACTCCCTGTATATGTACTCCTGGTATATGTACTCCTGTACTCCTGGTATATGGGCTTCCTGTTTTACTGGTATATGTACTCCCTGTACATGTACTCCCTGTATATGTACTACTGGTATATTTACTCCTGGTATATGTACTTCTGGTATATGTACTCCTGATATATGTTCTCCCTGTATATGTACTACTGGTATATGTACTCCTGGTATATGTACTCCTGGTATATGTACTACTGGTATATGTACTCCTGGTATATGTACTACTGGTATATGTACTCCTGGTATATGTACTCCTAGTATATGTACTTCCTGTATATGTACTTCTGGTATATGTACTCCTGGTATATGTACTCCTGGTATATGTACTACTGGCATATATACTCCTGGTATATGTACTACTGGTATATATACTACTGGTGTATGTACTACTGTTATATATACTCCTGGTATATGTACTACTGGTATATATACTCCTGGTATATGTACTCCTAGTATATGTACTTCCTGTATATGTACTACTGGTATATGTACTCCTGGTATATGTACTCCTGGTATATGTACTCCTGGTATATGTACTCCCAGTATATGTACTACTGGTATATGTACTACTGGTTTACCAGTAGTACATATACTATCAGGTCGTGTATCAGTAGAAGAGAAAACTGTAATGGCGAACCATATACGTTTACTATACACTATACACTGCATATGCACAATATTTCATTTATTATCTTAACAGATTTAACCAGAGGACATAATAATTCACCCTCTTATATATTACACTAGAAACAGAACATAAAATAAGACATTTCAAATTTAAAATCTCTTTAATTCATTGTTATAAATGCTTTCAAAAATATTTATAAGCTCAAATTCAGAGTTTACAGAATAAACATGTAGATTTTTTAATCTATTCTAAAATACGACAAATTTGAATTTTTTTAAATGGTGTATATTTTTTACTTAATATAGTACGCTTTTAAAACAAACGATTTAGGCAAAGAAAAATGGATTTTTTGGATTGAAACATTTAGGGTTTTATATTTTTCTACAGCAATTAAAAAAAATTTATTTGATTAATGATAATCTTTCATCCAAAATATAAAAGTTGAGCTGGACCCAGAGGACCTCCATTGAGAAGCAGGACCATCCCTTCTCTGGCCCAAACACGGGAATATTTACCCTGAAATTAATCAATGTATGTACAGTCGTTTATATCAATACAATGATGACGACTTTCGATTTCAATTTTGATTACTACGAAGCTAAACAGCATGGATACACATGAACATGATAACAAAGAGAAGTTGTAAAGTAACCTAGCTTCTGTTTTGTTTACAACATAGTAAACTTGGAATTTGAAAAAAGCTTGTTTTAAATCAAAACTTAATTTTTAAAAATCGTCTTCATTGTATTTAAATAAACGCCGACCACTGTATACTTAAGGTAAGGAGGATAGGGATTGTGTTAAATATATGGAGTGCATTCAAAATACTCCGCAGTGCAATATTCACAAACCCTATTCCCCGTATCTTTAGAATACATACAGGGTGTCCCCTATCATATTAGGCTATTTTAATGCGATTTTCTAAGGATCCATGTGAGATATATTTTTTTCTCATGTTAAACATGGTTGCCTTACAGGGGAGTTTAACCCTTGGAACTTCGTTAGCAAAAAGTCGCTCGATCAATGGAACCCTCTCACTAACTTTAACATGTGAATATTTAATGAACATATAGTTTATCAAAGCTCTTTAGTCTTTGTTGAATAGTAAATATAAATTCCGCCGCTATGTTGTTGACAGTGACTTTGTACGATTGTACCAAAGCAAATCTATCTCGAGATAGATAGATATTTAAAAAACTTAGGAAGCGCATCTATATAGAATATCGTCGTCCAAAAAACAAGCCCGTTAATAGTATAATATGATAGGCGACACCCTGTACCTTAGAATAATCATGCATTTTCAAATACTAGGTTCAAAATCAACAACAACAATACTATTGATAAATAACAATGTTTATGTTTGATGAATTTTTTTAAAATAAATTCTTAGATCTTTTCTTTAAACAAAAATTATTCGAACCAGATGCATAGAATATAAAGGATGTATAATTGGTACCAATGATATATAAACCTGTGCTGGTATCTGAGCAAGCTTTACTCCGGTATACAGATCACGTATAACAAGACCTCTATAGTTACTGCTCATGGAGAGAACTGTATCGGATTCAGGAACCTTTATAAATCAGGGGGAAAGATTAAAAGATTATAGGCTAAGTTTTTTTCTTTAGCTTTTGAAACTAAAAACATGGTTTCCAGCAGAATTGCATGCGAACCATGCACTATGTATGTAATCTACTAAGCATATATAAATATACATTCTTCTATAAATATAAAGTTGCAATCTCTGTTTGTCTGTTTGTTTCATATCATAACTCAGGGACCCCTGGACCGATTTTCCTTAAATTTTGATTTGGGAACTCGGGAGAACCACGGGAATGTTCTTATTTTGATTTTGAGATTCTAAATCGACTTTGTGCCGATAAACGGCATGAGTAATTTATAGTAACCTAGGCAGCGCTGGGTTCACACTACTTCTGTAAAGCATAATCATAGGAATTTTTATTCATACATCTATATTTGTTAATAGTATGATTGGGGTGTCTGTCATCTGTTTGTTTGTATGAACCCCTTAACCGATGTATCCCAAATGTTGATCTTGACTCTGTAATATCTAATGAACATAAATACCTGGATACAATTTTATACAAATTTATACAAATATCATATTTTATTTAGACATGAATCCAATGAATATATATACCTGGATACAAGGAAGGTTTTCTCCAAATATTGATGAGTTCTCTATATACTGCATAGATCTCCAGAGTCTGGATACAGATAGACAACCAGGAGATGGATTTGGCTAGAAAATAGTTTATTTAGTTAAAAATTGCGAAGCAATTGCTTCAGTTTCTATTGAGAAGGAAATCAAGTCTATCGATGTTCTAAAATATTTGAATTATTTAATAAATATCTCCAGCTGGTTGAAAATTAAAGACATCAAAATTCAAAGTTGTCCTGAGCCTAGGTCTTTAATCTTCAGAAATCAAACTTAATACATCAAGTTAATATTTCTACCTCTTGTTGTTTTGATTCTTTTATCTGATAAACGTTGAGAGAGATTCCTTTATGTTCTTTTTGTGAGAAAACAAGATGATTCTTCAGGAGGGAACAGTAGGTTAGGTAGGAATACCCTGAACAGTAGGTTAGGTAGGAATACCCTGAACAGTAGGTTAGGTAGGAATACCCTGAGCAGTAGGTTAGGTAGGAATACTCTGAACAGTAGGTTAGGTAGGAATACCCTGAACAGTAGGTTAGGTAGGAATACCCTGAACAGTAGGTTAGGTAGGAATACCCTGAAAATTAGGTTAGGTAGGAATACTCTGAACAGTAGGTTAGGTAGGAATACCCTGAACAGTAGGTTAGGTAGGAATACCCTGAACAGTAGGTTGGGTAGGAATACCCTGAACTGTAGGTTAGGTAGGAATACCCTGAACAGTAGGTTAGGTAGGAATACCCTGAAAATTAGGTTAGGTAGGAATACTCTGAACAGTAGGTTAGGTAGGAATACTCTGAACAGTAGGTTAGGTAGGAATACCCTGAGCAGTAGATTAGGTAGGAATACCCTGAACAGTAGGTTAGGTAGGAATACCCTGAACAGTAGGTTAGGTAGGAATACCCTGAACAGTAGGTTGGGTAAGAATACCCTGAACTGTAGGTTGGGTAGGAATACCCTGAACAGTAGGTTAGGTAGGAATACCCTGAACAGTAGGTTAGGTAGGAATACCCTGAACAGTAGGTTAGGTAGGAATACCCTGAAAATTAGGTTAGGTAGGAATACTCTGAACAGTAGGTTAGGTAGGAATTCCTCGAAACAATAAGTCAAGAAGTAGTACACTGAACATCCTATGTTTGTAGAAATATAAAGGAATTGAGTCTTTGTCACAAACTCTGATTTTCAATTTCCTATATCTCTGGAACCCAATGTCGTGGACATTAAATATTTCAAGCTATGAACCCTGTTAGATAGAATTTTCAAAGTTTGAAATATCAAACGATTACATTATCAGAGAGCAAGGATATAGCGATACAAAAACCTATGTTTGTGACAAAGACTCCATTCCTTTAGCGATTTATAAAATTGTAGATAATCATGTTTTCTTCTTTATCGACCATTTGAAATATGATAAAATTTTACCCGAAGCAGTTAGATGAAGGTTCGTCTCATTATTTTCAGAATTGTTTCCAGTCAAAACCATTCCAAAATCAGATTGGAAAATATAGTCAAGAAGCAGATTTCCCTGAAAGAAACAAAAATGAACCATCTCTCAAATATTTTAAGTGCGCAATGTGTTGTTTTAAATTTACACCTTGCACATGTGTGATATGATTTGCAAAATGTATGTTTTATCGATCATAATACAGTTTATACCATACACCTGGGTATCCCACACCCGCCATACAGTTTCTAGAGGGTAATCTGAACCATAGAGTTGACCCTCCAGATATATTCCTCCATCATAGAACAGTAGGTTAGCCGTGTATCTAGTATCTAAATTCAAATACAGGATTTGCAACATTTTCAAGGTTTTCTGCGGAATGGAAAAATTGTTGTGCTCAAATTCCGCATTTTTAAAGCTTTCTCACGAAAGAAAAACTTCACGAATTTCGCACAAATCGGGATGTTAAGTAATAATGCAAATTGTCGAATCAATTGGCCACAAATGTTAAATGTCAAATGCATGCAACAATAGTCATTATTTGCATCAACAAATATAGCAGAGATTTGCACTATATAGTAAAAAGTTGTTCGCGCAATTTTAGTCCAGGGTTTCCGCGCAAACATCGCGCAATTTATGAAAATGTTTGCGCTTGCTGAATTCGCAATTATATTTGCGGAATTTGCTTCCGGTGGAAATGCCAAACATTATACATAAAGAAAACACGCCTCATTGCACTATTTGTATTTTAATCAGCGCACAGGAATGCGCAAGTCACTTATATAGAAAACCACAATTTAAAATGATAACTTTTCGCACACAAGATGAGATATGAGAGATAAGATGGAAAAGGAGTATCTTTTTATTATAAGTCTACGTTTCTGAGAACCCTCCAAAAAATCATGTTTTGAGGACACCCTTTCTATTTTGTTTACCTATTAAAGATGAAATGTTGAACTGAAAAAGAATATCTCCAGAAATGGAAGAATAAACAAACCCGTCTCGAGATTCAACATTTCCTTCTCCAGAAGTGGTGTAAGCACTGAACAAAGAATTACCAAACCATCAAATATTTTTAAAACATTCTAAAAATTGTTTAAACCTGATAAAAATCGTATGTTTAGAGGATTGAATATGACTGAGTAGGATAGTTTCAAGAAAGTATCCGTCCTCTAGAAAGATCCACTGGGTTTCAACTCCACTCTCAATATCTAACACTGGAACACATGTATCTCCCTAAAATATTAAGATTTAATGAAAATTATGATAAGGTTTTATTTTTAACAAATTCTTCACAAAATTCGTAATCCCAAAAAGTCGTTTAGGACCATTATGCATTACCCAGAGGATCAATAATTACAAGAAAAAGAATTAAAAAAGACATGTTATAAGTTATATTGAATAATTCATATCTTTTAAACCTTATAATCTAATATCATATAAATTTTAATAAATTGTTTTCTACTGATATATCTTTTTTAAGGTGTAAGTGAACATTTATAAACATTCCAGAATTTACAGTATTTGTGTAACTAATGGACCTGCAGTTTTTGCATAATTAATACGCAGACGTTAAGAGAATTTCTAAAGTTGTTTTCCAAGTTTCTTCGTGATAAATTATCGCTGACATTTTGTGTTTCAAGGAATCAGCGCCAAGATATAAGTAGCTAATTTTTATTGCATAAAACGTTGACTTTAAGCGCAGAAGTTTTATTTCTCTGTTTTAGTCAATTAGCTTTGAAGCTAAGAAATAAAAAAGGACTGTAAGCGTAAATTCAACTAACCCTTCATGCAAAGGTTGTAATGTCCGAGTTACAACAATATATTTAAAATCTTAAATCTTAAAAAAGTATGAATTAGATATCAATGTTTATAATTTTGAAAACTGTTTAATTTCAATTGTGATTTCTCGATAAAAGGGACTAGCGCATTCTGCTGCAGAAAACTTAAAGGAATTATCAGAATCAAACACTTATCCTAGAAAAACTACAATATTGATCTGATGAGAATCTATTATTTTCCATCTTTGCATTGAGGGTCAACTGAAATTACGCTTACAGTCCCTTTAAGCGGGTGTGATGCGCCCTGAATTGTCATATAAATTACCTTGTAACCATATGCTATTTGTCCGAACTGTGAAGTAACTGAGAGACCTAATCCTGTAACCCCCAGGTGTAAAGTATAAATACTGTCAAAATGCTCTGCAAGAATCCTGAAGAAAAAAAAGTTGTTAGAAAAACGACAAGAATAAGATGATAGAAAAAAGGCTTAGTCGTAAACAAAACAGCTCAATCAATTCTTTAAAAAAAATATTTTATTTTGAGTGAAAGGTTTAATGTTAATGTTAAAATTTATATTGTATATACTACAATATTCATTCTCGTTAAATCAATCAATTAATCAACTAGCGTTTCAAGTTTGTCAATCATTAATATGAATAATATTTGGCAGGCACTCAACTAGACCCGTGATAAAAAAGTTTGACAAGAAAATTCTAAAACTATATTTTTAATAAGTTCACAACATTGTGTTAGTACATTACCTTTAGAGAAACAATTAAGGGAAAGGTTGGTTTAATTTACATGAATCTGGGTTCTTTTGTTTTTTGCTTTTGTTTTGTGGTAATTTATCAAATTTTATAAACACCAAGCTACCAATCCAATGAGGCTCAGTCCAAGGGGAAAATCATACAAATAAAAAAATTTATCTCTCAATCAACTATTATGTTTTGACCGGCTATGGATAATAAACGTAAATATGTATGTCGACGTTTTGCCATATCTAAATCTACATATATATATTTTATAAATATAAAGTTGTAATCTTTGATTGTCTGTTTGTTTGTCCGATCATAACTAAGGAACCCCTGGACCGATTTGCCTCACACTTTTATATTGTAACTCCGAGAACAACGGGAATGTTCTTAGCTTGGTTTTGAAATTCTAAATTGAGTAAGTTGACACTTAAATGGAAAAATAACTAAAATCATGATTTCGGACAAAGGTGGGAGTAACTTTGAGTAACCTGGGCAGAACTTGGTATTCAGATAGAAAACCTGAGATAGAAAACCCTGTATATTAGATATTAATATTTAGTATTAGAGTAAATACCTGAGATAGAAAACCCTGTATATTAGATATTAATATTTAGTATTCAAGTAAATACCTGAGATAGAAAACCCTGTATATTAGATATCAATATTTAGTATTCAAGTATACCTGAGATAGAAAACCCTGTATATTAGATATTAATATTCAGTATTCAAGTATATATCTGAGATAGAAAACCCTGTATATTAGATATTAATATTTAGTATTCAAGTAAATACCTGAGATAGAAAACCCTGTATATTAGATATTAATATTTAGTATTAAAGTATATACATGAGATAGAAAACCCTGTATATTAGATATTAATATTTAGTATTGAAGTATATACATGAGATAGAAAACCCTGTATATTAGATATTAATATTTAGTATTAAAGTATATACATGAGATAAAAAACCCTGTATATTAGATATTAATATTAGTATTCAAGTAAATACCTGAGATAGAAAAGCATTCCCTGTTGAAGAACAATTATACAATTCGCACGAAGAAAAACTTTATTGATCTTCGCTGAGAACATAAACGTCTGTTGTACAGCTTCAACTCCTGTATATGTTAGCTCTGTGTACTTATGTAAATTTAAAATTCGGTGATGGGGATGGACAAAACCTCTCACGGGCAGCCGTAGTACATTTAAATTTCCGAGCCGGGTCAACCTTTCCGGTCCCAGTTTGTACTGTATCGCCCGGACATTGGGTAAATAAAGCAGACACTTAATAGGACTAGCCAGTGCAACAAGGTTGACGCGATCAGACTTTAGGTTGAATTCACTTTTACAGAAGGATCAAAGGTGCGTGCTCTGTAGAGAAAAAAAAGTATGTGTTATTTTCATATTTTATTGAAAATATATTTTGGTCTGTCAGTTCTTCAGATTGTTTCTGTCATGAAGATTAAAAACAAACTTATGTAAAGTTTCTTTGCATGTACATTTTACACATAGTACATCATTGATAAAAGTTCTTGAAGAGTTTGTAATTTCTGTTCCTAATCCATTTACCATTCATCAAAAAACACAATTAAATTTATTTTAAAAAGGAACAAAAGTAAAAAAATAAATGATCACATATTTATAAATAATTGAATTTTTTCTTTAAGTATAATATTTTACCTGAGGATAGGTTCCAAAGCAGTATTCGTCCTTTACTAGTCCCAACAACTAGATGTTTTCCATCACAATCAAAACTACAGGCAAGTTCATCTTCCAATACCTAAACTTTAAAAATTTTATTCTAAATTTAAATTAACTAAAGCATGCAATATACTTTATTCAATTTTGATGGACTTTATCACACCTAATATTTCCCGTTGTAGGGTGATTAAGTGACTTTATTGCCCTATACAAAAGGGTGAAAAAGTAACTTTTTCACTCTGCTATTAAAATTTCAAATTTCATACCTAATTTTTCTCATTGTAGGGTGATAAAGTTACTTAATCACCCTACAACAGGTTAATTAAGTAACTTTATAGACCTGCTTTTAAATAATTTGAGTAAAACTGAATACAACTATACATGTTATTCAAATGGGTATCGTGCGTACGTGCGAAAAAGTTTTTGCTGTGATTTTTTATTTTTGTTTTCGATCAAAATAAAAATCCCGGCAAAAACTTTTTCGTACTTAATAATACGCATTACAATGACATAATAGATATCAGTTAACTTAAAATGTCTTTCAGGTTCTGATAAAGGTTCATTACCTGGGTTGGGTTTAGTATCTTTGTTTCGTAGTTTCCAGTTCTATAATTTCTTCTTAATCTTATTCTGTATCCAACATACTCGGACCAGGTACATCTCGGTTCCAACAGATATCCTTTATTGTGTGTATAGTTAACTCAAATTTATATCCTTTATTGTGTTTATAGTTAAAGTATATATAAATCTTACATCCAACATATTCAGACCAGAATACATCTCAACTCTAATATATATCCTTTATTGTGTTTATAGTTAATGTATATATAAACCTTGTATCCAATATATTCAGACCAGGATACATCTTAACTCTAATATATATCCTTTATTGTGTTTATAGTTAAAGTATATATATAAATCTTATATCCAATATATTCAGACCAGGATACATCTCCACTCCTATATATATCCTGTATTGTGTTTAAAGTTAAAGTATAAAGAAATCTTGTATCCAATATATTCAGACCAGTATACATCTTAACTCTAATATATATCCTTTATTGTGTTTATAGTTAAAGTATATATAAATCTTATATCCAATATATTCAGACCAGGATACATCTCCACTCCTATAAATATCCTGTATTGTGTTTAAAGTCAAAGTATAAAGAAATCTTGTATCCAATAAGTTTATAAAAATTAATTAGAAATCTTTAAAATAGGTTTTTATTATTTCAAACAAAATGTTCCTAATTTCGAAATTTCATAAATGTTACGGTTTCTGAACCGTTAAGTACACTGACCAGCATGTTTGGTAGATATCCAGCTGAGGTCAGGAACCTCGGGAGCAGCTGTACAATCACAACTGTAATAAAGATGTTTGTTAATATGAATTCTTTTTGTAATAAACTACAAATTATTGCAATAGGGATAATTTCAGTGACATAGCTGAGTTTTGAGCTGGGTCTCTGAGATTGTTAGATTTAATATTAGCTTAAAGAGACTTTAACCTATATTAAGTGTCATATCTGATTCACGACGATACTATTACAGTGACACAGCTGAGTTTTGAGCTGTGTCTCTGAGATTATTAGATTTAATATTAGCTTAAAGAGACTTTAACCTATATTAAGTGACATAGCTGAGTTTTGAGCTGTGTCTCTGAGATTATTAGATTTAATATTAGCTTAAAGAGACTTTAACCTATATTAAGTGTCATATCTGATTCACGACGATACTATTTAAATCATTGTCTGATAATCTACCACGAAAATATCCACACTTAAGCCGAACATGAAGTGCCTTCTGGAAGTTTGTGACGTCACTTTTACTTTTTATTAAAATGATAATGAAATATTTCCATTTGAAAGCATCGATTGCAATTGCAATAGCACTTTTTTTTAAGTTTTCATTTTAAGATTATTTTTTAGGAATATATTCTAAACGTTTGGAGAGGTGTTCTACGTTACTATAGGGTGCCAAAAAAACTGTTTATATGGCACTAAAGACTCTTTAGAAATCGTATTTCTAAAACAAAGAACAGAGCATGGAGATGTTGCAGCGTTGGGTGACACCCGCGATCATATCTTTAAAATTGTTCACCACATGAAATGAAATACATTTTTGTAGCTTCGACGGCTATACCTAACAAATCCTTCTCTATGGGCCAGTGATCTCCAGATATAAGGAGTATCAAGTAATCTTCTCCAATCCTTGCACACCTAGAGAGAGGTCAATTAAATACTTTTCGAAGAAATCCTTTTTGTTTAAAAATAAACTATTTCAGAGCGGTAATAAAAAACTATTCTGCAGAGTTTATTTCTACCCTATTCTAATCAAATCAAATAATATATATTTGAAACCTATATCTGATGTTTTTATTTTTCTAATCAAAATATTTGATATGAAAAATCATAATTTTACAAGTAATGCTACTTCTTCAAGAATCTGTTCAAACGTACCTGAGATAGTTTTAGAACACTTCTTGTATCCAAGATACTGATAAAATGTACCTGAGATAGTTTTAGAACACTTCTTGTATCCAAGATACTGATAAATTGTACCTGAGATAGTTTTAGAACACTTCTTTTATCCAAGAATCTGATCAAATGTACCTGAGATAGTTTTAGAACACTTCTTGTATCCAAGATACTGATAAAATGTACCTGAGATAGTTTAAGAGCACTTCTTGTATCCAAGATACTGATAAAATGTACCTGAGATAGTTTTAGAACACTTCTTGTATCCAAGATACTGATAAAATGTACCTGAGATAGTTTTAGAACACTTCTTTTATCCAAGAATCTGATAAAATGTACCTGAGATAGTTTTAGAACACTTCTTGTATCCAAGATACTGATAAAATGTACCTGAGATAGTTTTAGATGACTTCTTGTATCCAAGATACTGATAAAATGTACCTGAGATAGTTTTAGAACACTTCTTGTATCCAAGAATCTGATCAAATGTACATGAGATAGTTCTAGAACACTTCTTGTATCCAAGAATCTGATAAAATATACCTGAGATAGTTTTAGAACACTTCTTGTATATAAGATACTGATAAAATGTACCTGAGATAGTTTTAGAACACTTCTTGTATCCAAGAATCTGATCAAATGTACCTGAGATAATTTTAGAATGCTTCTTGTATCCAAGAATCGGATCACTAAATCTAGAAATATCAAATTAATGGAACAAATGTACATTTCAAAGAAGTTTATACAGATTGTCAGCTTTCGCATCCATATTCAACCAAGGACACAATTCGTTGAATTAAAGAGGTCGCTGAACTACCTACAGCCGGTTCAAATCCTGAATCACCGATTATAAGTTTTCATGAATCTTTAACCTTTAATCAGTGATTCAGGATTTGATCAGTGATTCCAGATTTGATCAGTTATTAAAGATTTGATCAGTGATTCAGGATTTGATCAGTGATTTAAGATTTGATCAGTGATTCAAGATTTGATCAGTGATTCAAGATTTGATCAGTGATTCAAGATTTGATCAGTGATTCCAGATTTAATCAGTGATTCAAGATTTGATCAGTTATTCAAGATTTGACCAGTGATTCAAGGTTTGATCAGTAATTCAAGATTTGCCCAGTGATCCAAGATTTGATCAGTGATTCAAGATTTGATCAGTGATTCAAGATTTGATCAGTTTTTCAAGATTTGGTCAGTGATTCAAGATTTGATCAGTGATTCAAGATTTGATCAGTGATTCAAGATTTGATCAGTTATTCAAGATTTGACCAGTGATTCAAGGTTTGATCAGTGATTCATGATTTGATCAGTGATTCAAGATTTGATTAGTGATTCAAGATTTGAACCGGCGCAGCGGTAGTCTAGCGACCTCTCATTATTCATTAAATTCGGTCCCAAGACACTTAGATGTTTGTCTGTAACCTTTTATACATACTTGATCGTAACAGAGGTGATACAATTTAAATTGAAGAAAAATAAAATTGAAGAAAAATCTAAAGTCAACCTGTTTTTTTATAAAAAAAGCGACAAATAAAATTCTTGTAATATATGAGGAATTAAATTTTACTTACATTCTATGATAGAGTTGAGACCGTGTTGATCTAGATAATTTAAAAAATCCAGTCTCGACATTTTTTATTTATGTTTATTTTCATCCATCGACTGAAATTAATGTAATTTTCACATTTTCTGAAAAATGTTAGTCCTTTTTATGGGTTGTCTTTTCATAGCTCTGCAAAACATTTCAACTTGATGTAACAAATTTAACACAAAAAACCGATTTTCCTCAAATTTTGATTGTGGAATTCTGCAAACAACGGGAATGTTATAAGCTTGGATTTAACATTCTATGTTTTATGTAGGTTAAGTACAATAACTTTTTTTATAGAAAGTTTAGTTTCCAGACAGAGTCGGGTTCCCAGCCTAGTTTTTATATGAAGTAACGAACTAATTGTTTTCACATTGCTAGTAGTATACATAGTATAAAAAGTGTGTTTATCAAAGGAAAGTCCTCTAAATACTAGGCTGAGATAGATCTGCATTTTTTAGATTAATCTTCTTTGAATCTACATTTATTTGAATATTTCTACCCGCAGTCAGTTTTAGGATCACAAAATCTTTCTAATTCTTTAAACTGAACCGAAATACGATTCCTTTTTTGAATTTTTTTATATAATTATTAAAAATATTCGACATTAGTGCACTACAGAATAATTAATTAGTAAAAGTAGGATGTGTACTTTTTCCTCAGTACACTTTGGCCAAATGCCACTATTGATAAAGATCCAAATATCGTAAAATTGAGTTTTAAAAAACCTGAATATTTTGACCTGAGAATTTATTAAATATTAAATGAGACGAATAAAATGCAGATCAGCAGGATTCATCAGGTGAGCATCAGTATTTCAGAGGGGGGGGTGGGGTAGAATGGTTAATTGAAAACGAGTTCCTTCAAAAGGTCTGACAACTGTATAATATTTATTTAAAGGAAGTCTGCGTCTATTTGAGCATGAAGTAATTTGTGGGAATTGGAACACAGTATACCTTCTACCCCTCAGAGGTGTTCCTGAGGGCCAGAATAATCGGTACTTTCCGTTAAAAAAAGTTAACATAACACATGGTTTCCTTATGTATTTTATAAATAAGATGGAAATATTTAATTGTTTCTTTATTGATTATTTTGTCCAATAGCCATCTTTGACTGGTAAGTTTTAGTTTGTTTGTAACCCATATGCTAAATATTGGGTTATTCTTAAAAGGCAAACAATCTTTTAAAAATGAAAACTATTTTATTTAAATAATCATCAATTTTATTTTCCGACAACCAAATTCAGTCAAAAGTACATATAATCGCTTAATCTTAGAATAAAAGCAAAAAGTACTCAACTGCCAATANTGGTTTAACTGATATTACCCGGACAAAAATAATGAATCCTAAATGGTTTGGACCGGATTCTAACAGCAGTCCTTATACAGCCAGGTTTCGTTACTTGTCCTAAACAGATTAAATACAGTTGAAGGGGAGAACAAAACTCCAGGTTGTTGTTATACTAGAGTTTACAATTCTAAAGGTTAGGAAAAATATCTGGGCTAGGGAGGAGAAATGAAAGATAGTGCAAGACAGGGATAGGAAGTTGATTGGAGGAATGATAAATGAAATGTAGGTATAAATAAAACAGACATAGGGGCTGGAAAGGATTTAATCATGTATGTCTAATGAAAGAGAGAAGTGTTTATGGATGAAAAAAAAAAATCAATTTGTTTTCGATTTGAATGAATTTTAAGGATGAACAGAGAGTAAAAAAATGGAGAGGGATTAAGACAAGATTTTGCGACGGAGGAGGAATAAATATAGAGATGAATAAGGGACAGGAGGGATGAGAAGTGAAAAGTAGGGATGAATAAGTGACGGGAGGAATGAGAAATGAAAAAAAGGGATAATAAGGAACGGGGCGGATGAGAATTAAAAAGAAGGGATGATAAGGGACGGGCGGGATGAGAAATGAAAAGTATGAATGATAAGGAACAGGGGGGATGAGGATTAAAAAGAAGGGATGATAAGGGACGGGAGGGATGAGAAATGAAAAGTATGGATGATAAGGAACTGGGCGGATGAGAATTAAAAAGAAGGGATGATAAGGGACGGGAGGAATGAGAAATGAAAAGTATGGATGATGAGGAACAGGGCGGATGAGAATTAAAAAGAACGGATGATAAGGGACGGGAGGGATGAGAAATGAAAAGTATGGATGATAAGGGATGAGGATGTTATCTGAACAACGCCCAGTTCACGACTTTAAATTAGTCACACATCATATACATACTAATCTTCTTTAACTTACAAACTCAACGCGCACACACACCCAGCATCTTTGCCAATCTGAAATTGTTTAGTGTGTGTCGGGATATCCAAGATACTGATAAAATGTACCTGAGATAGTTTTAGAACACTTCTTGTATCCAAGATACTGATAAAATGTACCTGAGATAGTTTTAGAACACTTCTTGTATCCAAGAATCTGATCAAATGNAAATGTTGGAGAAATGTTGGAGAAATGTTGGAGAAAAGTTAGAGAAAAGTTGGAGAAAAGTTGGAGAAATATTGGAGAAATGTTGGAGAAATGTTGGAGAAAAGTTAGAGAAAAGTTGGAGAAAAGTTGGAGAAATGTTGGAGAAATGTTGAAGAAATGTTGGAGAAATGTTGGAGAAAAAGGGAAGAAAAGAAGACAAAAAGTTCGAGAAATGTTGGAGAAAACTGGGGGGAAAAGTTGGAGAAATGATGGAGTATATTGACGATCAGCTAGGGGACAAATCTATCACAAGTTGTTAAAAATATTGTCATTCATTTTATTTATAATGAGCTTAAATTTTTATACATATTCGTCTGTGTATTAAGAGTGTGTCTGTATAAACAATATTTATTCGTCTTTGTATTAAGAGTGTGTCTGTGTAAACCACGTCTGTGTATTAAGAGTGTGTCTGTATAAACCACATCAGTGCATGAAGAGTGTGTCTGTATAAACCACGTCTGTGTATTAAGAGTGTGTCTGTATAAACCACGTCTGTGCATTAAGAGTGTGTCTGTATAAACGACGTCTGTGTATTAAGGGTGTGTCTGTATAAACCATGTCTATGTATTAAGAGTGTGTCTGTATAAACGACGTCTGTGTATTAAGTGTGTGTCTGTATAAACCACGTCTGTGTATTAAGAGTGTGTCTGTATAAACCACGTCTGTGCATTAAGAGTGTGTCTGTATAAACCACGTCTGTGTGTAAAGAGTGTGTCTGTATAAACCACGTCTGTGTATTAAGAGTGTGTCTGTATAAACCACGTCTGTGTATTAAAAGTGTGTCAGTATAAACCACGTCTGTGCATTAAGAGTGTGTCTGTATAAACCACGTCTGTGTATAAAGAGTGTGTCTGTATAAACCACGTCTGTGTATTAAGAGTGTGTCTGTATAAACCACGTCTGTGCATTAAGAGTGTGTCTGTATAAACCACGTCTGTGTATAAAGAGTGTGTCTGTATAAACCACGTCTGTGTATTAAGAGTGTGTCTGTATAAACCACGTCTGTGCATTAAGAGTGCGTCTGTATAAACCACGTCTGTGTATAAAGAGTGTGTCTGTATAAACCACGTCTGTGTGTTTCTATGGTCCGAGTTAGTTCTCACATCAATTCTGTTCAAGATAAAGATCTTAATTCAAGAGAACACGACAAAACGATCCTTCTCCTTACTCCCTTCTCTTATCTCCTTCCACCATTCTACTTTCCTTTCCTTTCTACTCTTCTCTTCCTTCCTTTTGTCTTTTTTCTTTCTTTTGTCTTCCTTTTCCCTTTTATCTTCTTACTAGCTTCTTTTTTCCCTTCTCTTTTTTTCCTCCCTCTCTTTTGTCTATTCTTCCCGTTCCTTTTTCCGTTGCCCTTTTCTCCTCGCCGTCCTCCCTTCTCCTTTCCCATTTTCCTTCTCCATTTATCTTCCCTTTTCATCCTTCTCCCTTCAACCTTCTCCATTCCTCTTCCCTCTTCCTCTTTCTCCCTTCAACCTTCTCCATTCCTCTTCCCTCTTCCACCTTCTCCCTTCAACCTTCTCCATTCCTCTTCCCTCTTCCACATTCTCCCTTCAACCTTCTCCATTCCTCTTCCCTCTTCCACCTTCTCCCTTCAACCTTCTCCCTTCAACCTTCTCCATTCCTCTTCCCTCTTCATCCTTTTCCCTTCTCCCTTCTTCCAATTCCTTTATGCTTTCTACTTTCTGTCTACTGTAACAATACACCTGTTTTCAAAACATTTTATTTTTGTTTTATTTATTTACATTTATAAATTTAAAATGTTTTCATCTTCATCATGGATATTATTCTCTTCTCTCTAAAATATATTTTTGAATAAAACATAGATTTGATAAATCATGCCAGATTGGTGAACTAGTCTATAACTTACATATTAAATGTCCAATAATGGCCAATCAAAATTATGTTTCCATATTTTTTATTACTAAAAATAAAATGTATTTCGACAAAGAGTTTAAATATATTTAAAATTTCCATGCCCCCCCTCCCCTCCCTTCCAGGTATTATGTTAAAAGGCAGTCTTTATATGCTTATCTGCTTTGAGAAAAAGCCTGAAGGCATTTTATAAAAAGTTGATTTAATACAACTCATTAAAACAGATGATTTTAAAGCAGTAGTTAAAGAATCTTTAAAGAATATAAGCACTTGTTTTAAACATATATTTTCTAATTCCTAACCTGAAAACTTAAAGGGATTGTAAACCTTTTATATTTAAAGGTTAAAGACTATTTTACATAACAGAATTTATAGAAACTGGGTTCATGAAAGGAATTTCCTTTTCTAGTCTCTCTAGAAACGAAATTAAGTCTTTGTCACAAACTCTGATGTTCTAATCCCAATATATTTGCAACCCAATATCGTAGACTTAATATATTCCAAACTATTTATTCTGTTAGATCATATAATCAAAATTTGAAATGTTAAAATTTACACCAGCAGGTTGCAAAAATACTGGGATTAGAAAAATTTGTGTTTGTATCAAAGACTCAATTCCGTTTAAGTTTTGAAATGATCTAGTGCTAGAAATCATCGCTGTGACAAACGCTAGAATCCCAGTTATTCGGACGATTGGGAAACCAAAAAGCAGGTACAAGAAAATGTCTTTCAGGCATGAGATAAAAACATTTTATATTGAACGTTTACCTCTTGCATTAATGTATCGGTTCCTAAAATATAATAAATATATTTGTTTTAATTTAATTTATAATGAGTGCAATATTATTATTTACAAAAATGAAGAAATTACTATGGATTATAAAAACGGTCATTTTTAAATTTAATCTTAAATAATTTTTTCTTTCACTTTATTAGTGAAGATCTATTTTCGTCGGTTCTCAAGGTTCCTGATTTTAAGAAACAAAAAAGAAAATAAATTTTAGATAAAAAATGATAAAAAATGAAGAAAAACATCTTAAAGAAAAACATTGTCTTTTACCTAAAATAGTTTGTAGTGTAGCTATATATGCAATGGTAGCTTGAAGAATCTTAACCTAAACAATTTTCTTTTTTCTAAGTATAAACTTATGTATAGTATTTAGAAAAGTTATACCTTACTATATTTTTTATCACACCTGCAATCATTAGCATTATTCAAATAAAAAAGGTTTAATAGCATTCTAACTATGAAATATATTAATTATTTTTATTACTGCTTGTCTGGTATAAATTAAAAAAAAATACCATCGATTAATAATCGGTCTTGACTCATGAAGATGGTACTGCCATGGTAGGCTGAATAAAGCTTCCTTTTGTAAATGAGATTGTTCAATTTATCATAAGCAGCATTCACTTTGATCATGCGAAGTCGCTCCTGAAAATATAGAAAACAAAGTTTTTTATAAAAACTCGTTTATATTCTATTATATAATATTTATTATACCAGCTTGGGAAACCCAGTATTGCCTGGAGGTTTCTATATAAAGATCAACCAACTCAACTTATAATTTTTAAACCAGACAAACAAGCAAACACCAAAAAATCCATTCGTCCAAAACTACTGCTTTATATTTATAGATATATTTTTTATGTATATATATTTCATTTAACAGTTCAAAGTCAAACAAAAATAAATTTAAGAATGTTTAAAAAATTAAATGGGTTTCATCCAAAAGATAGATCTATCATCTCGTCGAATTCCAGAAAATGTGGCACTTGATTTAAACAGTTAGGGTTGCAACCTAAATTGCCATGTAAGCATCAAGAATTAGGGACGAATCGGATTTTTGAAGTCCTTAACATCGAGTGCAATTTTCATGAATGTCTGGAAATTTTAGCTACTGAACCAGATATAAAAAAATATTTATCTTAGTTTATTGTCAACTCCAAAACTTAAGCACTTCAACACTTCAAAACTTCGACACTTCAACACTTCAACACTTCAGTACTTCAACACTTGAAAACTTCAACACTTGAAAACTTCAACACTTCAACACTTGAAAACTTCAAAACTTGACAGCTTCAAAACTTCAAAACTGGAAGACTTCAAAACTTCAAAACTTCAAAACTGGAAAACTTCAAAATTTCGAAACTTCAAAACTCTAAACTCCTTATAACTCCATGAATAAATACAAAACATTTAAAAATCTATTTTTTTATTATTTCAGTCAAAAAATGTCTCTGCTATTACAAATATCAAAGGATGCAATTATGCATTTGAATCTTTTATATCACTCTTGAATGTCCTTTGTTTGTTTTGGTTGGGTTGCATGGTATGCATGTTTTGCTAAATCAATTTTGAAGATAAAAAAATGGTCACATTAATGTTTCGTTACAACCCGAATACAGGATTAGTACATGAATATTGAAAAATATGTCTGCACTGCATAAACTGGTTTTAGGGCTCGTCCCGGATTAGACGATATGATACTCTATCATTTTAAAGTTGTTTTTCGTTAATTCATAAAAGTATATTGATTTAAAAAATACAGGTAGTTTAAATTTTTGTCAACAGTTTTGTTTTCAGTATTATCATGAGTACTATTTGTGTTAACCTTCTAGTCGCCAAATCTACAAACATGCCTCCTTATGTATGTTCTATTCATGCCTTAAACTTACATATTTGTACACGGTTCAAGTGCAGTCTTGGTCACCTTCCTGTATTCAAGTATTTGTTTTCATTTTCAAGTACTTTCAGAGAGAAAACCTACATACCCCCCCCCCCCCCAATTTTGGGATTACTAAACTATTTTTGGAACTGTCGATGTTCAAAAATAAATACTAATTCTTCTCTAAAAAGAGCGTATTTCAAACCTTTTCATTTGCAATTTTCCGTTTTGTTTCCTTCTCGAACCCGTTTTTCTAAATTAAAATATAATTACATACGAGGGATGTTTAATAAGGTTTTCTAAATTAAAATATAATTACATACGTGGGATGTTTAATAAGGTTTTCTAAATTAAAATATAATAACATACGTGGGATGTACAATAGGTTTATCAAAAATAATGTAAAGGTACTTCTAGACATCTCACCCCTTTAAAGTTCACTATATTTGTTCTACAGGTTGGATAACCTTAAAAAGTCAAAGGAGGGTAAGCCTTTATTGTAGTAAAGGTCCTTAAAGGTTTGATAGTTGTAATCTACATTTCAGCAAACGAATTAGTATCTTTTCCTAGGACCTCTTTGAAGTAAATGTTGTCCAAATCTTTGTCATTTTTCAAATCTTGCTTTTCAACTTTGTTTGGAGCCCCATAGTAGATGTCAATCTCATCAAAAATCATCAACAAAGAATCCTTGCGAATTTGGTTTGAGAAACTTTCAATTATGTCGAGGACTGTTTCTGGGGTTTTTATGGATTTTTTTCTGCTCAGACATGTCCTCGTTCTGCTCACATTAAACTTTTTCCCTTTTAGTCCACTTGCCGTGTCCATGATTATTCTCCTCTAATGCACTTTGGATCATGTGAAGGGTGTCTGCTTTATTTTTGGAAAGTTTCAAGCACGATTTTATTGTGTATCAGGCATCCCAAGTACCCTCTTTCTCTGGTTGATAATATATAAAACATTCCAGTGCTGTGACAAAGGAGTTAGACAACCTCCGGGAAAAGGCGGATTAGATAAAAATAAAAAGTTTATTGTATAAAGTCCGCTGGAAGAAGACAACCAGGATGGATACAGTAAGATTTGAAAAAAACGTCAAGAAATACCTTTAAAATTTTGTTTGCAAAACTTATTGAACATACCTCGTAGTAACTAGAAAATGTTCAACTAACCCTTTAAGTTTTTAACACTACGCAAGAACGTCTTGCACGAAGTCAAAAGAAAAATTTACTTAATTTCAAAATACTTTTAGTCAGTTAGATGTTACGAAGAAAAGTTATGGTTTTATATTTAATTACAAATAGGTGAACTATCCCTTTAACAACGTATTATTTGTTTCTTCAGAGTTTTAAATGTTTGGCTTAGAAAACCTTGATCTTTAGATATCTTTGCTGGGTTCCGACCAATAAGAGTTCTCTCATTGAATACGCAAAATTTTCCAGCTTCTGATTGGCTGTTCGGTTTCTGTTCGGCACTCTGATTGGTTAAATTTTAAATATTTTCCTGGATATCAAATACAGATAATATTAATCTTGAGATTAAGAAACTGAGTAGAAGAAGGCTTGATCTCGATATCCATAATACAGGAGTTTCGGTTTCCACCTCATATAACTTACATAGGTTTGACTGTTCATTTTAAACTGGCAAAATAACGATAGATTTTATGTTTAAATTTCAATATCATAAACTGTCACACAATTGTGAAATAAAATAAAAATGTTTTATTGTCAATAAATTACAAAAATTACAAAAAACATGTTGTTCTTCTGCATCTTATATATTTTATTCTAACAATTAAATTAAAATAATTTTGATCAGTTTTCTGTAGTCAAAATATTTTTTTTTGTCACCGAAATTAACATTTCAGGTAAACCTTATGAAAATCGAAATTTCGAAACTTAAAAGAATTTTTTTTCAAAATGATTTTTGTTACTTTAGGTTCAAGACTGAATAGTGCGGACTGCGTACATATCAGTTTTCCTCAGTTACAAAGTACCACTTTTCAACCGTACATAAAAACATCACAGAACCGTACATAAAACAGCACAGAACCGTACTTAAAACATCACAGAACCGTACAGAAAGCAGCACAGAACCGTACATAAAACAGCACAGAACCGTACATAAAACAGCACAGAACCGTACATAAAACAGCACAGAACCGTACATAAAACAGCACAGAACCGTACATAAAACAGCACAGAACCGTACATAAAACAGCACAGAACCGTACATAAAAAAGCACAGAACCGTACACAAAACATCACAGAACCGTACATAAAACAGCACAGAACCGTACATAAAACATCACAGAACCGTACATAAAACAGCACAGAACCGTACATAAAACAGCACAGAACCGTACATAAAACAGCACAGAACCGTACATAAAAACATCACAGAACCATACATAAAACAGCACAGAATCATACATAAAACAGCACAGAACCGTACATAAAACAGCACATATAAAATAGATTGTAAAGAAACAAATTTTTGTACTTTTTATTTGAATATTGCAACTAAATTATAGAACTGCAAAGATTGATAATTAAAATATTTTTCCTCTCAATAATTACGTTTGAGGAACTTTCAAGCAATACGAATATATATATATAATATTTTTTTATTAATAATTTAATAAACAGTGAACAATAATTCCACTCTTTTAAGGTACTTCAGACGTAATTCCAAGTAACCCTTAAGTTAAAAATTGCCATGTGGCCGAAATCCTTAATTTTCTAGCTGAAAGTTGAGTGCCGGGACACTTGAAATTACGATTACAGTCCCTTTAGGATCGATAAAAGAAAGTTTTAACTGAAGACCCAGAGACTACACTGTATCCTTAAGACCAAAATGTTAATTATCTGCGACAAATAATTTTTTAATTACAGGCTTAATGTCCCTTACTTACGTATTAAAAATTTGAAAATTTAAAAGAGAAAAAGTTCGTAAATTGACGAAAATATTGTCTCTTAGTAAGGTATAAAAAGAATCAAATTTAACGACAAAAAGTCAGTGTTTAAAAATCCGTTACTTTCTCAAATAATGGATTTTTTGTCACTGATAAAAATTAATTTCATTATTTAACGATTTATAATCTGCGACAAAAAATCATCCACAATTATCAATCATTGAAAGGATGACGCAGCTGATTTTATTATGTCATTGTCAATGCCGAGTCGGTCGAGTTCGTAGAGTCGAGATGTCTGGTAAATAATTATACTATATAAGTCGTGTGAACTGTAAAGTTTAGAATAATGTCATCTTACTCAGTGAGGATACAGTGTAGTTTGCAAGTCTTTAATGGTCACACTTGCAACAATCTTGCCGTCTATACTCGTGCTCAACTTGAAGGGAAGAAGGCTAACTTCAGTTTCTGTTATAGTTAACTCATATCTATTAATAGCAAAGAGAATAAAATATATATTAGAGTGGAATTTAGACAATCCCTCGGTATGTATTTTGTCAGTCCTTTCAGCCTGAAGGGGAGTTCCAAGTGTACAAATCATGTAAATGTTTACAAAATATATGCAGTAGACTACATTAATACTTGATAAAGCTAATAAATGATGTGCTTATGTTAATGTATGAAATCTAGGGTATGAAATGTAAACAATTGCAGCGAGTAGATATTTATACAGTGAGACCTATATATCTTTGAAATATAAAGACGACATTTAAACAATCTAACGTGTACTTGACGTAATTAATTAAAAATCACATAAGCTTGGAAATCATCTTATGAAGTGAAATGGCTCTGTGTATCTGCACAATATCTTTGTTTCTTTAAAATAACACTATTCAAAATCAAAACTTGCGCCTAACACTTTTATGAGAACCACTGTATAAAAGTTATGAATTATCAAACATTGTTTTTTATATCATCCCCCCCCCCCCACCACTAATCAATGTTATGCTTACCCTGACTTAAAACTGGGAAAGTTTACACTTTTATCTCCGTATTCTATGCTATAGGATACATAACATCTTGTAGATTCTACAACTTCATCTAAACAATTAACCTGATAGTTTTACTAAACTTTACACTTTTATCTCCGTATTCTATGCTATAGGATACATAACATCTTGTAGATTCTACAACTTCATCTAAACAATTAACCTGATAGTTTTACTAAACTTGTTATTCATAGTTAAATACAAATTAGTTTTCGCTTCGGATGATGTGTAGATTTGATAGTGAGTTACTCACAGATTGTAAATAGGGCTAGCAAATATTATTTCGTTTAAGATGTTCATTTATTAACTTTTTTCCCTTAGTACTCAGGAAAAATTATGATTTACATGAGAGTTACATATGTATTTCCAACATAGTCTCAGATATAATTTTTAAAATTTATGTTCATTTGTGTGAGAAATTAAAGCACGATTTTAAGAAATGTAATTATTTATTTTTCTTTTGCTTTTGTAGCGGAACACATTTTTATAATATTAGTAACTTTTATATGATGAAGTTCTAATGCTAAAATGCGGTTATAACTAAGGAATGTTGCGGTGCACATTTTTATCATTTTGCGCAAGAAAAATTGGAGATTACTGGAAATGACGTTAAACCTTTGAGAAACTTTTTCGTGTTTTTTTTTGTGGTGCAGTGAGCTTGCAACGAATATTAATATTTATAGCATGTTACCTAAAGGAGTATTAGGAACAATTTGGAACCTAAGAACTGTTGAGGGTACATAACTTTGCTTCTCAGATACCGGGTACATCTAATCATCAAATACTGACTATACCTATTGAACTATATAAAGGTTTAATTTCATCTTCTGCATTCAAGAAACTGCATAATTGTAATCTTAAAGAGACCATTTACTTATGCGGGTAATTTCATGCTAAACTAAACAGCTTATTAGCTATTATAATTGGTTTTGGTCTTACTTTTCCAATACATGCATGGCCGGAGAAAAAGACCAATTTTGTTTAGAATTTCAGCGCAAAAGTCTGAACACTATTTGATGTTGTTTGTCTATGTCGAATGGATTAAATAAAATGTTGAATATACAATTAAACTGTAGTATCTAATAGTTAATTGTAAATGTCATAATTTAATGCATATACATTTTAAACGTTTTAATCCAAAAAAAGGTAAATTTTTTGTTAACTTAAATATCAAAATTATTATATAATGACTAACACATACTGGCATTGAAATATGATAAATTTAATTTTTTGGGGCTTTTGTTGCTGAAAAACGTCTAGTGAGTTTCAGACAAAGGGACCGTACTTTGGCGCTTGAATTCTGAACCAAAAACCGGTTTTTTCTACGGCCACAGTTGTCTTTGAAAAGTAAGACAAATACCAATTAACAGCTAATAGGCTGTTTAGTTTATCATGAAACTACCCAAATAAGTGAACGGTCCCTTAAAGTAAACCTCTATTTATTGGCAATACAATCAATAAATGCAATTAGGATAACGTCGTTTTCTAGCTTGAAAAGTGTATAATTCTGACAATTTCTTTATCGCTTCTAAAGAAATAAAATCGCAAGACACTTTTGTAGACGAATGGAAATAATTAGTCTTCAAAAAGATGATTAATATCTTACAGTCGTCTTTTAAGATTATTCTGTGTGGGTAACCCTGCAACCTTAAAAGATATCAAGATACTTTCAGTAATCAGCGATTATCTAATCAAGATTTTGATCAGAAATCATCACTCTTATCAAATTAAGATTTTGATCAGAAATCATCACGCTTAATTATCTAATCAAGATTTTGATCAGAAACCATCACGCTTATCAAATCAAGATTTTGATCAGAAATCATCACTCTTAATTTTGATCAGAAATCATCACGCTTAATTATCTAATCAAGATTTTGATCAGAAACCATCACGCTTATCAAATCAAGATTTTGATCAGAAATCATCGCGTTTATCAAATCAAGATTTTGACCAGAAATCAGTGTTCAGCATTTTTAGCTTTATATTTTAGGTTTGTTTGTGTGTTACCTGTACACTTGGTACTAAGGCATCATTCATGCTCTTATCCATCAATCCTAGAATACAAGGATACAAGGATACAGAACAGAAGATAATTAATACTAGATAAGGGATTTAGAATACAAGGATACATACAGGATATGGGATACAGAATATGAGAGATGGTATACAGGGTAACTGATAACAGATACTAGATAAAGGATTCAGGATACGGTGAATATAATATAGTTTAGGAAAAAGGACAGAAGATAATGGATACAAGATACAAGAGAGAAAACAAAGAATAAAGGTTAAAGGATACAGGATTCAGTATATAAAACAAAGAATTAAGGGTGTAGGATACAGGATTCAGGATTAAAAACGAAGAATAAAGGGTATAGGATACAGGATTCAGGATAGAAAACAAAGAATAAAGGGTATAGGATACAGGATTCAGGATAGGTAACAAAAAATAGAGGATGTAGGATATAGGATTCAGGATAGAAAACAAAGAATGAAGGGTGTAAGATACAGGATTCAGGATAGAAAACAAAGAATAAAGGTGTAGGATATAGGATTCAGGATAAAACACAAAATATAAAGGGTGTAAGATACAGGATTCAGGATAGAAAACAAAGAATAATGGGTTAAGGATACAGGATTGAGGATAGAAAAACAAAGAATAAGGGGTGTAAGATACAGGATTCAGGATAGAAAACAAAGAATAATGGGTTAAGGATACAGGATTCAGGATAGAAAACAAAGAATAAAGGGTATAGGATACAGGATTCAGGATAAAAAACAAAGAATAAAGGGTATAGGATACAGGATTCAGGATAGAAAACAAAGAATAATGGGTTAAGGATACAGGATTCAGGATAAAAAAAAAAAAAAAGAATAAGGGGTATATGATACAGGTCTATATTTACCCATGCTCCTGAGAGAATATCCAACCCCTGAGGTTGAAGACAGTAAACCCATTAACAACTTGACATTTCTAAAAATATATTTTTACAAAAATATTCATTTCTGTGTCTTTCAGTAAAATTTGTCAGCAAATAAAAAGCTTTAATAGATGTTTTTTTTCTTTAGAATTGTTTAAATATTTTATTTTTTTTACAGGACTTGCAGATATGTCATTAAATGTGTTCTAAGTCAAGAGTCAGCATATTTCTTTTGCTAAAAACTGCTATCCATTTAGAATTTTAATAATATCTGACCTGTTTTTAAAATAAATTTTATCCAAATTAGAACTAACATGCATCGCCTGAAAAGTTGAGAGATGAAAATATTTAAGAAAAATTACTGAAACAAAAACATACAGGCCTAGCCACTTTAGAAAATATAGAAATGTTAAATGTCCTAAATGGTCAGATAAAATTTATGTATTTAGGCTTTCCTCTTTAACCAAACATTCTAATTTAAGTATCCTAATCCAAAGTTCCAAAGTAAACCAATGGAATCTAAAATCTTTAATAAGAACATCCGGTTCTAAGACCATTGGGTCAAACGACTTAGGGTTAAGACAATTTCTGTGCTGCGGCTATTAGTTCTATTTAACATAAAAATGTTTAAATTAACCAAAAATTGTCTAAATGAAATTTTGCTCGTTTATCATACTTTTTGACCCTATGTCGTTTTACCCTTTGTCGCGTTTTTGACCCTTTGCCGTTTGACCCTTGGTCATTTTACCCTGCTTCGTTTGACCCTTTGGCATTTGACCCTAGATTGTTTGACCTTATGTCAAATTTAATTTAAGCATCTAAATTCAAGTATCCTAATCCAAGCAACCTAATTCAAACATCCTAACTCAAGTATCCTATAATCCAAGCAACCTAATTCAAACATCCTAACCCAAGTATCCTAAATCCAAGCAATGTAATTCAAACATCCTATCTCAAGTATCCTATAATCCAAGCAACCTAATTCAAACATCCTAACACAAGTATCCTATAATCTAAGCAGCCTAATTCAAACATCCTAACTCAAGTATCCTATAATACAAGCAGCCTAACTCAAACATCCTAACTCAAGTACCCTATAATCTAAGCAGCCTAATTCAAACATCCTAACTCAAGTATCCTATAATCTAAGCAGCCTAATTCAAACATCCTAACTCAAGTATCCTATAATACAAGCAGCCTAACTCAAACATCCTAACTCAAGTACCCTATAATCTAAGCAGCCTAATTCAAACATCCTAACTCAAGTACCCTATAATCCTAAGCAACCTAATTCAAACATCCTAACACAAGTATCCTATAATCTAAGCAGCCTAATTCAAACATCCTAACTCAAGTATCCTATAATCCAAGCAACCTAATTCAAACATCCAAACTCATTCCATTATTTAAATTCAACCATTCGGACAAAACATTTTGAAAAAGGTTTTTATCCTTACATCTAAATCTGGCAATCATCCTGTTCTGAACATTATTCGTCTTTAAGCATCTCAAGAATAAAATTGGAATCTTTTTTTACCAAAATTTAATGATGCCGGAAGGGTAAAAACTTTTGAATGAAAAGAAGCATAAAGTTTACCTTGAACTTTATCATGATCTTGTCAATTGAGTTGATGCTGGGGAAGAGAACCCAGATCAAGTTCCACAAGTTCAATATCAGGTAAATACTCAGCAGGGACACGTATAAGTATCCAACACCCTGAAGGTATAATTCTAATTATTTAACAACTTTATTTTGCAAAAAAATTGCGATTGTAAATTCTATGGTAATCAATTTAAAGTTAAAAAGTAAACTTTTTTACATTGTGCGTTGAACTGAACGCTACTTCAAAATAAATAATCATATTTTTATTTTAGAATAAATATTTTTGATTTTCGGAAAAAAAAGTAAAATTGTATTGCACGACACTTTTTATTCAAAATAAAAACCCATTTTCGGGGAAAAAGGGGTTCTTATCAAGAGGGAGGGGGGGGGGGGAAGGCGAAAGGAAAGAAATAGTAAAAGTATTAAACCTTGTATAAACCCATAGGATATCCAGCACATGAATATTCTGCTATATTGAATCTACACTTGTGATAATCTTGATCAAAACTATAATCTTCCACCAGGTACCAGATATATATTATCAGGGGAATCAGAGAGAACACTTAATAATATATTATTTAAAATATACCCGAAGAACCCCCCCCCCCTTACCTTTTTAATAGTAATTTTTTACATTACTTTTATTTCAGTTTTAAGCTTGATTTACTAATTGATTGAATTCAAAAATTCTTTGCTGGGTTTTATATAAAATTCTTTTCATAGAAACTTCGTATTGATGCAGGCAATTTTTTCATGGTTAAAATATGGTTTATCCTAACCCTTTTTTAATTTTTCAAACATTTTCTCTGTAAGCGACTATATATTTGTTTTACCAATAGAGAATAGAGTTCTGATGAGATACGAGGTAAAATAGCTAGATATGGATCCTAGGCAGGAAAGAAGTTCATTGGTCTAAACAACATCAAATCAATTTATTTTTTTCAAAATCATTAAAGTTTATTTTTTAACCTTTACATTAAATGTTCCTAGATTGATTTAAAGAATACAGCTTTATGTATTTAAACAGATTATCTAAAGGAAGTGGGAAAACAAAACGAACAATAATTTTATTTTGATTTTGGGCGATTTTGTTTCATTGGGTGTTTTGTAACATTGGGCGTTTTGTACCACTCCATTTTAAGTTTATCATGTTAGGTACCAACTCCATTTTAAGTTTATCATGTTTTGTACCCACTCCATTTTAAGCTTATTATGTTTTGTACCCACTCCATTTTAAGCTTATCATGTTTTGTACCCACTCTATTTTAAGCTTATCATATTTTGTACCTACTCCATTTTAAGCTTATCATGTTTTGCACCCAGTCCATTTTAAACTTTAGCTTATCATGTTTTGTACCCACTCCACGTTAATAAGCTTATCATGTTTTGTACCCACTCCACGTTAATAAGCTTATCATGTCTTTGTACCCACTCCATTTTAAGGTTATCATGTCTTTGTACCCACTCCGTTTTAAGCTTTTCATGTTTAATTGTACCCACTCCATTTTAAGCTTATCATATCTTTGTACCAACTCCATTTTAAGCGTATCATGTCTTTGTACCCACTCCATTTTAAGCTTATCATGTCTAATTGTACCCACTCTATTTTAAGCTTATCATGTTTTGTACCCAGTCCATTTTAAACTTATCATATTTAAATCAGAATATCAACAGCAAATAAATATTTGGTATTTTTTAATGACTGCTTATTTTTAATTCATTTAATTTTTTGTGAAATTTCCCCATCTTTTTTCTTAGTCTTAATTCTGTTTGATTTATTTATTTACCTCCTTCTTCCTGTCTAAGTTATCTGTAAAGGGATCGTGTGTGACGAGCAAGCTGTATATTTGTTCAATATTGTAGGACTGGAACAGAATCATCACAAACGGTCTAAAGGAAGTAAAATTTTTTAGAATATTTTGATTTGAAATTGTTTTTAATTTCTATATCGTCGCTTCAGGAAGATATCTCAGTCAGTACAGGTTTTATAAGAATATTATAAAAAAATATTTGGTAAAATCTATTTGAGAAAAGTTTAATAGAGGAAAGTAGATTAAAGAAAAATTGATTAGAAGAAAGTATATTGAAGGAAAGTTGATTTGAAGAAAATTTATTAAAAGAAATATATTGGAGGAATATGGATTTAAAGGAAATTGTATCAGCAAAATGTGTATTGTAGGAAAGTGGATTAGAAGAAAAATGGATTAGAGGATGATTCTGTTAGGGGAAGTGGATCAGAGAATAGTGAATTGGAGAAAAGTGCATTGGAGGAAAGTGTATTAGAAGAAAAATTGACAAAAGGTTAATTACTGTAAGAAAAGTGGATTAGAGAAAAGTGAACTGGAGGAAAGTGCATTAGAAGAAAAATGGATTAGAGTATAGTGGTTAAAATGAAATTGTTTCAGAGAAAAGGGGATTGGAGAAAAGTGGATCAGAAGAAAAATTTACAAGAGATTAGATGCTTAAAGTGGATTAGAGAAAATTGAACTGGAGGAAAGTGGATTAGAAGAAAAATGGATTAGAGTATAGTGGTTTAAGAAAAAAATGGGATTGTAGGGAAGTGAACCAGAAGAGAAAAATTAATTTGAGGTTAGTTTTTTAAAGGAAAGTGAATCAGAGAAAAGTGAATTAGAGGCAGGATAACCATTCCCAAAAGATCCTGACCTGTCAATAATGACCAGTGCTGCGGATAGAAGGAGTAAGAAGTAGGGGAAGTAAGCAGCAAATATAGATATCTGTAATCCATCCATCCAATAGTATTCATCTAATCCCACTACTAAATAAATATGTAATCCATTAATCCAGTATATAGTATTAATCTACTAGACCCATTACTTAATATATTTATTCAACTACTAGACTCACTACTAAAAATAGATATATGTAATCAATTGATCCAGTAGTATCCATCTACTAGACTCACTACTAAAAATATATATATGTAATCAATTGATCCAGTAGTATTCATCTACTAGACTCACTACTAAAAATATATATATGTAATCAATTGATCCAGAAGTATTCATCTACTAGACTCACTACTAAAAATATATATATATGTAATCAATTGATCCAGTAGTATCCATCTACTAGACTCACTACTAAAAATATATATGTAATCAATTGATCCAGTAGTATTCATCTACTAGACTCACTACTAAAAATATATATATGTAATTAATTGATCCATCCCAGTAGTATTCATCTGACACGCTACTAAGAATAAAGATCTTAAACAAATCTAATTTTTTTATTGAAAAGACCCTGCTACGGTCTTTTTCTTTTTAATTGATTTACAGACATAGGTTCACACGATCAAAGGTCCAATGCAATAGAGCCAAACGACATAGGGCTAAGCGACAAACTGGCAAAAATTGCGACAAAGAGTAAAACGACCTGCACTGCAATATAACGACATAAGTCAAAAAGTGCAAAGAGCATACCATTCTGATAAATATTCAAGAACCTAGCATTCTGATAAATGTTCTGATAAATATACAAGAACCTACCATTCTGATAAATATTCTGATAAATATACAAGAGCCTACCATTCTGATAAATATTCTGTAAATATATAAGAACCTACCATTCTGATAAATACATATATAATAACTTACCATTCTGATAAATAAATATATAAGAACCTACCATTCTGATAAATATATAATAACCTACGTCATTCTGATAAATATATAAGAACCTACTATCTAATAAATATATAAGAACCTACCATTCTAATAAATGTATAAGAACCTACTATCTAATAAATATATAATAACCTACTATCTGATAAATATATAAGAACCTACTATCTAATAAATATATAAGAACCTACTATGTAATAGATATATAAGAACCTACTATCTAATAAATATATAAGAACCTACTATCTAGTAAATATATAAGAACCTAAAATCTAATAAATGTATAAGAACCTACTATCTAATAAATATATAAGAACCTATTATCTAATAAATGTATAAGAACCTACTATCTAATAAATATATAAGAACCTACTATCTAATAAATATATAAGAACCTACTATTTGATAAATATATAAGAACCTACTATCGGATAAATGTATAAGAACCTACTATCTGATAAATATATAAGAACCAACTATCTAATAAATATATAAGAACCTATTATCTAATAAATATATAAGAACCAACTATCTAATAAATGTATAAGAACCTACTATCTGATAAATATATAAGAACCTACCATTCTGAGCACAATACTGTCCGATAAAATACAAACTCGTACCAGTAGCTTTGTCACAGTCACTCTGATTATATAATAATAATAATAATGATACTAATAATAATAATAATAATAATAATAATAATAATAATAATAATAATTAAAGCACATGTTTACCGTACAAGTACAGTCTATTCTAACGGGAGAAATGAATGAGTTTGGAGCCACAAGAATACTCTGCAAATAGATGATTTTATTTGTCGTTTTTTGAAGACGTAGTTTCATGGTATAGGATAGTAGGCATAGTTGGGCTGTTTAGCACAATCTTGCATACTGTCGAAATGTGTTTTTTTCTGTTTTCAAAACAAAAAATGAAAAGAATTGAGTTTCAGTAACATAATTTCTTTTTCAAAATGAATTTTTCGTGAAACTACTGTATACGATCTGACTTGACAGACGACTCAGTCAAAGATAATCTTTTTATCACTATGATAAAAAGACGTTTATCCCAAATTAACTGTGACTTTTTTTGGAGTTTTTTTATCAATGGTTAATATTTCTATCATCACAGAGATATCTTAAATATTTTTACTAAAATCTCAAATCACTTGGGTAAGAAAATATAATCATACATTAAACATAAATTCAAAATGGTGTAATTATAGCCCTGATAAGTATACATTACATAAATTAAACATAAATTCAAAATGGCGTGATTAGAGCTCTGCTAAGCATAACCATACATCAGACAATAAACAATTCAAAATGGCGTAATGAGAGCCAGCTGATAATTATAACCATGCATTAAACAAAAATTCAAAATGGCGTAATTAGAGCCCGATAAATATAATTATACATTAAACATAAATTCAAAATGGCGTATTAAGAGCCAGCTGATAAATATAATAATACAGTAAACATAAATGCAAAATGACGTAATTAGAGCCCTGATAAATATAATAATACAGTAAACATAAATGCAAAATGACGTAATTAAAGCCCTGATAAAGACTGTTTTAACAAAACAAATATTGCAAAGGAAAAAGTCGGACTGAGTGTACAATAAAGTTTGAATACAAAAGTAAAATTATTATATGACAAATTTAAATATCAGCATTGACTGGAAAGTCGAATTAGAAAAATCATGTGTAATCGTTAAGATAGGAGTTTAAAACAGATTTTCAAATATTTCTCTAAAACTTAAGTTTCACATTTAAACTTATGATATTTTTTCTTAAATTTTACCAAAATGACGAGAGTGTAGACGATATGGTCCTCTATATTGTCCCACCAGGGCCTGAAACAGAGATTTGTTCTAAATACTATTTTAAACTTCTCTTCACTCGGAGATTTTTCCAAGCTTAACTAATCATAATTTTGATTTAAACACATTGCAATTAAAATACTAATTAGTTTTTTAGATAAAAATAATAAATCATTTAAGTTTATGCAAAAGCTTCTTCTGTGGACAATAAAATAGTCAGCCGGAACCAGGACAAAGACTTGGCCAACCAGGGCAATATAGTGGTCAGACAGGACAATATAGTGGTCAGCCAGGGCAATATAGTGGTCAGCCAGGGCAATATAGTGGTCAGCCAGGGAAATATAGTGGTCAGCCAGGGATATATAGTGGTCAGCCAGGGAAATATAGTGGTCAGCCAGGGAAATATAGTGGTCAGCCAGGACAAAAAATATAGTCAGCCGGGACAAAAACGTAATCCGCAGGAACAATATAATAATTAGCCAGGACAAAATAAAAAATGGAAAAATTGTAGAATCAATATATCCTGTTTTAACCTAAAAGCCTTCTCTGCAGTACTAAGGTTGATGCCTCCAAGTAGAGTAGAACTAAGTAGAGCCATCTTTTCCGTACTAATCTGTATCCTTCTGGTATCTTTTCCGTACTAATCTGTATCCTTCTGGTATCTTTTCCGTATTAATCTGTATCCTTCTGGTATCTTTTCCGTATTAATCTGTATACTTCTGGTATCTCTTCCGTACTAATCTGTTTCCTTTCTTTATCTTAAACTCTAAACCCAGACTGCAGATATGTTTGATTATAAAATATGAAATAGTTTATCTTCAAATTGTTGACATTAGTCAGAATACAAGACACTAGGACAAAGAGATAGAAATCTTAATATATTTATAGACGCTAGGCCTATAAAACTGTGGAATAGGAAGACGACTGCTATATATATATTTATGGACGCTAGGCCAAAAAAACTGAGGAATAGAAAGACGACTGCTATATATATTTATAGACGCTAGGCCAATGAAACTGAGGAATAGGAAGACGACTGCAATATATATTTATAGACGCTAGGCCAATAAAACTGAGGAATAGGAAGACGACTGCTACATATATTTATAGACGCTAGGCCAATAAAACTGAGGAATAGGAAGACGACTGCTATATATATTTATGGACGCTAGGCCAATAAAACTGAGGAATAGGAAGACGACTGCTATATTTATTTATAGACACTAGGCCAATAAAACTGAGGAATAGGAAGACGACTGCTATATATATTTATAGACGCTAGGCCTTTAAAACTGTGGAATAGGAAGACAATTGCTATATATATTTATGGACGCTAGGCCTATAAAACTGTGTAATAGGAAGATGACTGCTATATATATTTATGGAAGCTAGGCCTATAAAACTGTGGAATAGGAAGAAAACTGCTATATATATTTATGGACGCTAGGCCTATAAAACTGTGGAATAGGAAGACAACTGCTATATATATATATTTAAGGACGCTAGGCCTATAAAACTGTGGAATAGGAAGACAACTGCTATATATATTTATGGACGCTAGGCCTATAAAACTGTGTAATAGGAAGATGACTGCTATATATTTATGGAAGCTAGGCCTATAAAACTGTGGAATAGGAAGACAACTGCTATATATATATATTTAAGGACGCTAGGCCTTTAAAACTGTGGAATAGGAAGACAACTGGATCTGAATGCATATTTTTTTTTAATTTTGCTATTATTACTACATTCCCATGCAACAGCTGCATACTCCATTTGCGACTAATTAAGACTATTCTAAACGATTTTTCGTATATTTAATGGAATTCCATTCTGTATGATGTTTAGTGAACTAGAGCACCAGACATTTATTATACATGATCAATTCGAAAGCCCCAATAAATGACTTGTCGAGTTTTACTCCCACAATTTTAAAGTATTTTTCTGTGGAGCTACTTCAGTTCAATGAGGATTGAACAATGAACATGACTCACAACAATTTTAATGTTTACACAGAAATATTTTACTCATACATTATCAAATACATATAAAGTACTTTAAATTAATTAATTAAAATCTTATAGCTTAAATTCTGGTATGACTTTAAACAATTGTTAAGTTCAAAGCTTAATAAATTTTATGGAATTTATTTAACCATTTTTTATTGCAATTCTGCACATAAAAAAAGTTGTTGGAAATAAAGATGATAAACATAAACATATATGTGAAAAATTTTAGATGAAGCCAAACTTTTTACAACTAGAATTTATTTATATTTTAAACAGCCCGCCCATTTCTCAACACTACCTGCTATTTGGAGACCTATTTAAAGGCCTATCTATGGGTCTAAAAAGACCAATAAACTCCCTAAGAAACGCCCAGAAAAGTATACAGCCACTCAACCCAGTACTTTTTGTTCAGTGGCTGTAACATTCTAAAGGGTCTAAATATGTTTCATACTTTTTTATATTTAAACAAACAAGGCAAAGCCTATCTGTCTATCTGTCTATCTGTCTATCTGTCTATCTGTCTCTCTGTCTATCTGTCTCTCTGTCTATCTGTCTATCTGTCAATCTGTCTATCTGTCAATCTGTCTATCTGTCTATCTGTCAATCTGTCTAGCTGTCTATCTGTCTATCTGTTTATCTGTCTATCTGTCAATCTGTCTATCTGTCTATCTGTCTATCTGTCTATCTGTCAATCTTTCTATCCGTCTATCTGTCTATCTGTCTATCTTTCTATCTGTCTATTTGTCTATCTGTCAAGCTATCTGTCTTTCTGTCTATCTGTCAAGCTATCTGTCTATCTGTCTATCTGTCTATCCGTCTATCTGTCTATCTGTCTATCTGTCTATCTGTCTATCTGTCTATTTGTACATCTGTCTATTTGTCTATTTGTCTTTTTGTCTATTTGTCATCTCATCTCTATAGAATATGTAAATTATGAATCAACAATTGTTCTTTGATATACTCTTATGATCACTCTCTAAAAGACAAATGGAAAAGGTCAGATTTATGTGACTTGGCTATTACGAATTGGTGGCCTTGTAGCTTCTCTAGTTTAATTTTTTGTATAGGAAACGCAAATTCAAAACTGTTTATTCTCAAGCGCTTTTTCATAATGGTGTCAGGTAATTTTCCCGAAGGCATTTTCCCAAGGGCAACTTTGTCAAGTGACAATTTCCCAAGTGGCAACTTCCCAAATGTGAAACTTCCAAACTATAAGTTCCCAAAGGTTGGGTTCTGAGCCTCAACAGGCTGCAATGGGGCCTAGTGCTGTGACTAAGAAGGTGTAGGGGTCCAAGCTCTGCCACTAGAACGGATTAGGGGGCCGAGCGCTGCGTTTAGGATAGACTTAGGAAGTTTCCGCTTGGAAAACTGCACATTTGGGAAGTTACCACTTGGGAAAATACCACTGGGAAGTACGTGACATCTTTCATAACTAAGGATTGATTGAGTTATGATTACAAATATGTAAGATTACCACAAAATATGAAATGTGCTATGATGATACTTTTGACGGTGTGATACTCATTTAAAAATATAAAATGTGCTATGATGATACTTTTGACGGTGTGATACTTATTTAAAAATATAGAACAATCTAATTTTCACTTCGTAAACATCAAACAACTATATTATATACAGATAGACATAACGACCAAAATCTGATAAAAATGAGTTACTGCAAATTTTAACAATGCAGATGCTGCCAAAGAAATAGTTTACACGCCCTTAACAAATATTCTTCATTAAAGAGACTTCACGCGTAACTTCAAGTGACTATCCATGCAAAGATGACAGTACTCGGTTCAAAACGGTATCTTTGAAACCCTTATCTGATCAATAGTGTGGGAGAAAATGTCGTTTTTCCAGGGTTAAACGTGTTCAATCTATATATAAATTTGGCTTGTCTGTCTGTCTGTCTGTCTGTCTGTTTGTTTGTATCCAATAAACGTCAAAACGGCTGAACCGATCGGGCCCAAATTTTTTGTGGGACATCTAGGGACTCCAGGGAAGGTTTATGAATCATCAAAATTTCAAATATTTGTCTCCATCAAAATTCGATCGTCATTAAATTTTTTAAAATTTTGAAAATCCGCGAAATTTTTTGTGAAAATCCGCGAATTATTTTTGTTTTGTTTTACGATGTACACAAAGAGAACATGTTCACAATTAATTTAGGAGATGGGCGCGAAGCGCCCTCTAAGGCTAGAAAGAAGGGCGCGAAGCGCCTTGAATTTCTAGTTCTGATATAATACTTTATGTTTTCCTGCAGTAGAAATTCGCATGTCACTTATTAAGAGAAACCATAGATGAAAATAATCATTATTCAAAATCTATAAAAATTGATATAAAATTAGTACTTTATCAGAAAAAAAAGTGAATCGGACTTTGCCATCTTTGCCTGGAGGGTGACTTGAAATTGAGCTTACTGTTCCTTTAAACAATCCATATTTCGGGTTCTTAAAGGTATCAAGCAGTTTTTTTTATCATATTCCAGCCTTCCTTCCTAAATTTAGAGCAAGTATATAGAATTAAAAATTGTATGATTAGAGTTCTAGATATAATCATTTAAACCCTTTTACTCATACTTCTATTACTAAAACTACCCCGAAAAAGGGCGTTCCGTCAATTGTAGATCTATAATTAAGATATTCTCTTGTTAACGATACATTAACATGATTTAGATCGTTCAGCCTAATTTACAAGATGTAGTTTATTTCATCTAAATTTATGACGAACACAAAAAATTGTAAACATCCAAATTTTTCTTTTTTATATTTACTGAATATTGAAAGAATGACCCCGTAGCATAACTTGAAAAAAATGCCTTCAGGGAAACTCAATGTACAATGTACAATGTACAAAGTACATTGTAAACTATAAACGATCAATGTTTAGCTAGTAAAATAAGAATATCTTCGTCGTCGATGTTAAACTTTAAAGGTACCATTGTTAATCAGATATGCCACACTAAAAAGTTCCCTTTAAGTCTGATGTTTTATTTAGTTGAACTCATGGAAGAATTAACATTCAGATCCAGTCCTGATACTATTCACAGATTATAAAGAGATAAACCAATTACAAGAATACATGACATTCACTTCATCCTTCATCTTTCATCCTTCATTCTTCGTCCTTTCTCCTGCATCCTTTATTCTTCATCCTTTATTCTTCATTCTTCATTCTTCATTCTTCATTCTTCATTCTTCATTCTTCATCCTTCATCCTTCATCCTTCATCCTCAGCATCTTTCATTCTTCACAAGTTCTACTTACTCCTTCCTTTTTAATTATTCCTCATTCCTCATTCCTCATTCCTCCTTCATCATTCTTCCTTCATCATTCAAGCACTTCATTCAATTCATACTTCATCCTCCATCCTTCATGCATTCATTTATTTCCATTCTTAATCTACAACCATTCATTCTACAGAGAGGGGGGGGGGTTTGTCTACAGCACCCAAGGAACTGGATTGAAAAGTAATTGGTTAAAACTACCTCTGCCAAGTGTAGAGATATTTGTTTTTACCAGGATTCCAGTCTAGGGAGGGGTTAAACTCAGTAAACCTTTCTCCCTCGCCTCTATTATTACATTATCAAGTATCCTGTCATTACAAAACTTGAGAAACAATACAGAAACATTTTTTGCCAATTTATTAGATTCCAGCCATTTACGTCACTAAAAATAGTACACAAAAGAAAAGAAAAAGATACGATAGATAGATATTAGAGATGATCAATTGAATCTGTTAAGAATGAGATTTTTTG